ATTGAGTTAAAAAAAACAGCAAAAGGATTGGGTTACGGGTTGTGTTTTAGGGAAGAGGGGGGGGGTGGGAACCACCCCAAGATGTTGGCGGAAAAACTATCAGCTAAAAACTATGGTTTACAGCGCCACAAACGCAGAGGAAAAACAGGAGTTGGGGGGAACACAGCACCTTAAAAAACTGATTCCCCTGTTTAACAATGTTATCCATTTAATTTATTTGAGGTTTTGTGTTTGGTGTATTTTTTTACAAGTTTGTTGTTTTTATTGTATGTAATTATGTGGTGTATGTACATATTGGGATATTTATATATTTAGTTTCTTTCTTTTTATTACATTATTTTCTTTCTTCACCATTATTCTTTTTTCCATATTTTCTTACTAGGATAATTTTAAATTGAAATTGAAATTGAGAGGGAAGGGAGAGGGGGGGAGAGGAGGAAAGGGAGAGAGGAGAGAGGGGAGAGGAGAGGACGAGGAGGGGGGAGAGGAAGAGAGGAGAGAGAGAGAGGAGGAAGGGGGGAGAACCGAGAGATGGGGGACTTGGAAACGAGAGAGAGAGGGAGAGAGAGGAGAGAGGGGGGGGGGGGAGGGGGGGGGGGGGGGACCAATGAAAAAAAAAAAACCGAGGGGAGGGAAGAGGGAGGGAACTGGAAAAAACGGAGGAGGAGAGCGGGGAGAGGAAAGGAGGGGGGGGGGAACACCAGACTGAAAACCGGAGAGAGAGAGGGGGAGGAAAGAGAAGAGAAGGGGGGAACCCACTGAAAACCGAGAGTGAGACTGGAAACCGAGGAGAAAGATGGAGGGAGGGGGGAGGAGGGACTACCCCCAAACTGAAAAAAAAACCGGGAGAGAGGAGAGGGGACTGAAACGAAGAGAGAGGAGGAGGAAGGAGGGGGGGGAAGGAGGGAGTATGGGAGGGGGGGGGGGGGGGGGACTGAAAAGAGCGAGGGAGGGGAGAGGACCTACCCACTGAAAAAAAACCGAGAGGGAGAGGAGGTACTGAAAAAAAAAAACGAAGGAAGAGAGAGGGAGGGAGAGAGAAAGAGAGGAGGAGAAGGTGGAGGGAAACCGAAGGGAGAAGTAGCGAGGGACACAAACTGGGAAACCGAGAAGAGGGGAAGGGAGGGGGGGGGGGGACTGAAAAAAAAAAAAAAAACCGAGAGGAGAGAGGAGGAGGGAGGAGAGAAGGAGGGACCAAACACTGGAAAAAAAAAAAACCGAGAGAGAGAGGGGGGAGGGGGGGGACACACTGAAACCGAAGGTCAAGAGAGGAGGGGGGGGGGGGAACTGAACCGAGGGAGGAGAGAGAGGAAGAAGGGCGAGGAGGGAGAGGGTATGGAGGGAGAGGAAGGGAGGGGGAGAGGAGCGAGGGAGAGGGACTGAAACACCGGAGAGAGGGGAGGAGAGAGGAGAGAGAGAGAAGGGGAGGGAGAGAGAGGAGAGGAGGGGAGAGAACGGAAGACCAGGTGAGAGAGGAGGAAGGGGGAGAGAGGGAGGAGGAGTGGAAGAGGACACAACACTTTGAACGAGGAGAAGGAGAAGGAGAGAGAGAGGGGAGAGAGAGGGGGAGGAAGAAAGAGGACGGAGGGAAGGGGAGAGAGGAGAGGGGAGGAGTAGGGAGGGAGGGAGTGAACGAGAGAGAGGAGAGGAGGGGAGGAGGGAAAGGAGGAAGAGGAGGTGAGGAGAGGGAGGAGGAGGGGGGAGGAGAGTTGAAAACAAAAATCCGAGGAGAAGAGGTAGAGAGGAGGGGGTAACTGAAAAAACCGAGGGAGGAGAAGGGAGAGAGGAGAGAGGAGGGGGGGAGGAAGGGGAGAGAGGAGAGGGGGGAGGGGGGGGGGGACTGGAAAAAAAACCGGAGAAGAGAGAGGAGAGAGGAGGAGACGAGGAGAGAGGGGGGGGGTGGGAAGACGAACGAGGAGGAGAAGGAGGAGAGGAGAGAGGAGGGGGACAAGGGACTTGAAAAAAAACCGGGAGGAGGAAGAGGGGGGAGAGGGAGGGGTACCCCAACCCACTGGGAAAAAAAACGGAGGGGGGGAACTTGAAAAAAAACCGAGAGAGAGAGAGAAGGGGGGGGAAGGGTGGGGACTGAACCGGGAGAGGAGGAGGAGGAGAGGAGGGGGGTGGGGGGGGGGGAACTGAACCGAGAGAGGAGAGAGAGGAGGGGGGGGGGGGACTGAACCGGGAGAGGGAGAGGAGGAGGAGGGGGAGAGGGGAGGGTAGGGGGGGAGAGGGGGAGAAGGAAGGGAGAGGAGAAGAGGAGAAGAGGGGGGGACTGAAAAAACGAGAGAGGGAGTAGGAGAGGTGAGGGGACTTGAAACCGGAGAGAAGAGGGAGGAGGAAGAGGGGGGGGTGGGTGGGGGACTGAAAACGGGGAGAGGGAGGAAGGGGAAGAGGGAGAGAGGAGGAGAGAGAGAGGAACGACAAAAAAAACCGAGAGAAGAGAGAGAGAGAGAAGAGAGGAGGTGAGAGACTGGAAAACGAGGAGGGAGGGAAGAAAGAGAGTGGAGAGAAGAACTGGAACCTGAAGAGAGAGAGGGGAAGAGAGGAGGGAGGGGGGGGGGGGGGGGGGGGGGGGGGGGGGGGGGGTTGGGGGGTGGAATCTTGAAAAAAAATCCGAGGGTGAGGAGAAGGAGGAAGAAGGAGAGAGGGACTGGAACCGAGAGGATGAGAGAGGAGAAGAGGGTAACCCCCACTGAAAAAAAAAACGAGAGAGGAAGAGGAGGGGAAGAAGGAGGGAGGGACAAACTTGAAAAAAAACCGATGAGAAGAAGAGAGAAGGGAGGAGGGGAAGGGGGAGGAGGGAGGAGGGGGGGGGGGGGGGACTTGGAAAAAAAAAACGAAGAGAGGGAGGGAAGAGAGGAGAAGGGGAAGGAGGGAGAGGGGGGAACTGGGAAAAAAACCGGAGGAGGAAGAAGGGGAGGGAGAGGGGAGAGAAGGGGGGGTGAAACGGAAACCGAGAAAGAGGGGGAGAGAGTAAGAGGGGAGAGAGAAAGGACTGAAAAAACGAGAGAGAGGAGAGGAGAGGAGAGGGAGGAGGACTGAAAAAAACGATGAGGGAGGAGAGAGGGAGAGGAGGAGGGACGAAAAAAAAAAAACAGAAAAGAGAGAGGGGAGGGAGAGAGAGGAGAGAGAGGACGAACCGAAGAGAGAGAGGAGGAGGGGAGGGGGAGAGGAGAGAGGTGGGGGAAACTGAAACCGAAGAAGAGAGGAGAGAAGAGGAGGAGAGGGAAGAGGGTGTGGGGGGGATCTGAAAAAAAAAAAAAAACCGAGAGAGGAGAGGGAGAAGGAGGAGAGAGGAGGGGGAGGAACGAAGGGAGGAGAGGAGGAGAGAGGAGACTGAAAACCGAGAGGGAGGAGAGGGAGGAGAGAGAGGGGGTACTGAAAACGAGAAAGAAAAGAGAGAAGAGAAAAGAGAGACTGAAAAAACCGAGGAGGAGAGTAGGAGAGAGAGAAACATTAAAAACCGGAGAGAGGAGGAAGAGAGAAGAGGGGAACCATGGAAAGGAGAGGGAGAGAGAGTAGTGAGGAGAAGGAGGAGGGGATGAGAGAGACTGGAACCGAGAGAGGAGAGGGGGAGTTCGAGGAAAGGGAGGAAGAGGGACTGAAACCGAGAGAGAGAGAGAGAGAGGGAGGAGGGGACTGAAACCGAGGAAGAGATAGAGAGGAGGAGACGAGGAAGAGGAGGAGGAAAAGAGAGATGGAGGAGAAGAAGAGAGAGGGGGGGGGGGAATTGGCAAAAACCGAGAGAGAGAGAGAGTGAGAGAGAGGGAGGCGTGACGGAGAGACCGAGAGGAGAGAGAGAGAGAGACGACGAGTAGAGAGAGAGAGGGAGAGAGGGACACTGACAACGAGAGAGGGAGGGAGAGAGAGAGGGACGTGAGACCGACGAGAGAGAGAGACGAGACGAGACGAGACTAGGGAGGCGGATGAGAGAGATGAGAGAGACAGACTGAACGAAAAAACGAGAGAGAGAGAGAGGAGACGGAGAGAGAGAACGTGAGGACCGAGCAGATGGAGAGAGAGCAGGGGAGGTAGAGAGACTTGGAACCGAGAGAGAGAGAGAGAGAGAGAGAGACGAGGGAGACAAGAAACGAGAAGAGAGAGAGAGGAGAGACGTGAAGGGAGACGAGAGAAGAGAGAGAGAGAGAGACACTGAAACGAGACGAGAAGAGTAGAGGTGGAGAGAGAGAGGAGGAAGAGAAGAATGAACCGAGAGAGAGGGATGAGAGAGACACTGAGCGCGAGAGAGAGAGAGAGAGAGACACTGAAACCGAAGAGACGGAGAGCGAGAGGGAGAGAGAGAGAGAGACCGACCGAGGGAGAGAGAGAGAGAGAGGGACTGAATCGAGACGAGACGAGGTAGAGAGAGAGAGAGAGACTGAACCGAGGAGGGCGAGATGTAGAGAGAGCCGAGAGGAGAGAGCTGAGAGAGAGAGAGAGAAGGGAGAGACTCTGAAAAACGAGGAGGGAGAGAGAGAGAGAGACTGAACGAGAGAGAGAGAGAGATGAGGAGAGAGAGAGATGAGAGAGGGAGACGCGGAACGAGAGAGAGAGAGAGAGAGAGCACCCACTGAACCGAGAGAAGGTGGGAGCGAGAAACGAGAGTAGAGGGGAGCAGGGACGACTGAACGAGAGAGACCGAGAGAGATGGAGAGTGACTGAGCTCGAGAGAGGAGAGAGAGAGAGAGGACGACGGAACAAAAACGAGAGAGAGAGACGCGAGAGAGAGAGGGAGGAGACAGATGAGACGAGGAGAGAGGAGAGTAGCTGAAAAACCGAGTGAGAGAGAGAGAGAGAGAGGAGAGGGACACTGAACAAAAGAAGAGACCGAGAGAGCCAGGGAGAGGAGAGAGAGAGACTGAACAAACGAGAGGGAGAGATGAGAAGAGGGAGAGAGAGGGAGGGAGGGGACTGAACCGAGAGGAGAGGGAGCAGAGAGAGACGGAGAGGAGAGAGAGAGAGGGAGGGACGAACCGGGAGAGAGAGAGAGAGAGAGACGAGAGAGAGCGAGACCGAGGGAAGAGGAGATGAGAGAAGAGACGTAGAGAGAGAGAGGAGAGAGAGTAGAGAGAGCGAACACGGAGACCGAGAGGGAAGGGAGAGGGACGGACCGAGGAGGAGAGGCGTGACTGGAAAAACGAAGAGGGAGAGAGAGAGAGAGAGAGGAGAGAGAGAGACACACTGAACCGAGAGAGACGAGGACGAGAGAGGAAGAGAGTGACTGAACGAGAGACGAGAGGACTGACCGAGAGAGAGAGAGAGACGAGTACGAGAGGGAGAGAAGAGAGAGAGACGAGTGGGACTGAACCGAGAGAGAGGGAGCAGAAGAGTGACTGGAACAAAACCGAGAGACGGAGAGAGGAGCGAGGGACTGAGCGGAGAGGGAGAGAGACCTTGAACAAACAGAGAGATCGGAGAGAGAGAGGACTGGAGGAGAGAGAGAGAAGATCGCTGAACCGAGATGAGAGAGAGAGAGAGAGACTGAACCGAGAGAGAAGACGAGAGTAGAGACCCCACACGAACCGAGAGAGAGAGCTGAAACCAAGGAAAGAGGGAGAGAGAGGAGACGAGGACGCGAGAGAGAGGAGAGGGGGACACTGCACGAGAGAGAGAGAGAGGGAGAGAGAGACGAGCAGAGGAGAGACTTGAAGACGGGAGGGAGCGAGAGAGAGGAGAGAGAGACTGAACCGAGAGGGAGAGAGGGACTGAACCGAGAGAGAGAGAGACTCGAGAGAGAGAGACACTGAACCGAGAGAGAGAGAGAGAGAGGGAGGGGACTGGGAGAGATAGAGAGACCGCAGCGAGAGAGAGAGAGAGAGAGACACACTGAACAAACGGGATCCAGAGAGGAGAGGACTGACACCGAGAGAGAGAGGGAGAGAGAGAGGAGAGAGAGAGAGAGGACACTGGACCGAGAGAGAGAGACCCAGACGAGAGAGCGACTGCTGAACGAGCAGAGAGAGGCGAGGGAGAGCACTTGGAACAAAAAGCGAGGGAGAGAGAAGAGAGAGAGACTGAGACCGGGAGAGAGAGAGAGAGAGACGGGACCGGGGATGGAGAGAGAGGGGAGAGAGAGAGCCGAGACGAGAGAGAGAGACGAGAGCGAGAGAGACTGGAGAGAGAGACGGACGAGAGAAGAGAGGAACTGAGAGAGAGAGACACCGGACAGGGAGGGAGAGAGAGGAGAGAGAGATGAAACTGAGAGAGAGAGACCGAGAGAGCGACGAGAGAGGAGCGAGAGAGAGAGAGACTGAACGCGAGAGAGAGAGGAGAGGAAGCTGAGAGCGCGAGAGGGAGAGAGACTGAGAGAGAGAGAGACATGAACCGAGAGAGAGAGAGAGAGAGACGGACTGGAAAACGCGAGAGAGAGGACTGGAAAAACGAGAGAGGTAGAGAGGAGAGAGAGAGGGAAAGACTGAACAAAAGAGAAAACCGAGAGATCAAGAGAGAGAGAGACTGAGCGAGAGAGAGAGACTGAACCGGGAGAGAGAGAGGGAGAGGAGACTGGAACAAACGAGAGAGAGTAGAGGAGAGAGAGAGACGGAACGATGAGAGAGAGACACTTTTGAAAACAAACGAGAGAGAGAGGAGAGAGAGAGAGAGGAGAGCGTGAGGGACGACCACCTGATCGAGAGACGAGATAGGAGACGAGAGGAGAGAGGAGGAGAGAGTGGGGACACACTTTTGCGAACACAGAGAGAGAGACGAGAGGGGACGGAGGGAGAGAGACGACGAAGACGAGCGAGAGGGGAGAGAGAGAGGGAGAGGCGAAGAGAGAGAGAGAGAGCGAGGGACCACTGAAACCGAGAGAGGAGAGAGGAGAGAGAGGAGATGAGTGAAGAGATGAGAAGAGACGAGAGGGCAGAGAGAGAGACACACTGAACCGACAAGGGAGAGGAAGAGAGCGAGACGGAGAGAGAAGAGAGAGAGAGAGGAGTGGGACCATTGAACACCGAGAGAGCGAGATGAGAGAGAGCGAGCGTGAACGGAGAGACGGAGTAGCAGAGGAGAACACGAGGAGCTGGAGCGAGAGAGAGAGAGAGTGACCACTGAACCGCGAGAGAGAGAGAGACGAGAGAGAGACACGAACCGAGAGGGAGAGAGGGAGAGAGAGGAGAGAGAGAGAGACGAGGGAGAGAGAGAGAGAACGAGAGAGAGACTGACCGAGAGAGAGAGAAGAGAGACACTGAAACGAGACTGAACCAGAGGAGAGAGACTTGGACTGAGAGGGAGAGAGAGAGAGTAGGGAGATGAGAGAGAGAGAGGAGAGAGGGGTGACTGAACCGAGAGAGAGAGAGACACACTGGAAACACGACGAGACGAGAGAGAGACTGACACACGAGAGAGAGAGAGAGAGAGAGAAGTGACTGAACCGAGAGAGAGAGAGAGAGAGGGAAGACTGACCGAAGGATAGAGAGAGAGAGAGAGGACTGAAAGACCGAGATAGATAGAGAGAGAGAGAGAGGACTGAAACGAGGAAATAGCGAGAGGAGCGAGGGACTGGAACCGAGAGATAGAGTGACTGAACCGAGAGACAAAGATTAAAAAGGAAGAGGGAGACTGAACACGAGAGACAGATAGAGAGGGAGACTGAAAAACGGAGAGACAGACTAGAAAGGGAGAGACTGAACCGAGCGAGAGAGAGAGAGAGAGGAGAGGAGGAGTTTGAGAGAGAGGGAGACGAGAGAGAGGAGAGTTTGTACAGTACCATCAGATTGTGTAAGTTAGCCACTATTTTACCATTACCAGCATGACATATAAAAAACTTACAAGACCACATGCAAGCTCACTGTATAAAAGTAGATAAAAATAGTGATATTTGTAGTGTAGACATAACGATGTCTGGTTCCTTGTACAACAATGGTGAACTATTTTGACTGTAAATTTCCCTAGAAAGGCGCATTTCACACTAAACCACTCTGAATGATTTTGTTTACATCTAAACCATTAAATGATTAATTTTCCAATTATCATACGTGAAATGTCATCAGGATCAAGACATTATTTTTAAATACTGTTGGCTGTCTGCACAAGAAATGTTTTGTGTGAAACTAACTTTATTTTGCTTAAACAATAAACTGTATGAATGATTCAATCATCACAAATTAAGATTTAGGCTTTTTATTGCAATTTTTATCAGCATTAAAAGAGTAATGCTGTAAACATAGCAGTTATGTGCAACTGTTCTATAAAAACATCTATATGCAACTATAAGAGAACCTTTTAAGTGACCAAAGGGGTTAATGGAATGATCAGAAGCTAAAACAAATACACTGTTTAAAACCCCACATAGCCAAGTGCTAACTGGCAGAAGCTTGCAAAACCATTGTTCCCTTTGCTCGTAAAAAGAAAGAGTTGCCTAAGAAAGAGACACACATTCAGCCACGCTTTAGAAGGGCATAAAAAGGCTGCCAAAGGGACAGTTCAGCTCTTACCATGGGAGTTGGGCTCTGGCAGCGTCTCTCTGGCAACCAAGTGCATGACAGTTGTTCGGCCAGGGGGCAACTTCAGAGCTATTCAAAAAAGACAGACAATGTGTGTATCTTGGTTGTTTATTTTATATTTTATATATATATATATATATATATATATATTATATATTATATATTATATTATATATATATATATATATTATATATATAAAAAAATATATCCCCCCATTTACCTGATTCAACAGGTTAAGTGCCCTAACTAACAACATGATCTCACAAAAGAATAATTTAGATTTAAGCACTATTGCATTATTCAGGCATTTGCAACAACTGGTGAAGCAAAATGATGATACTGGAATAAGGTAAGGTAATGTGGGGACAGGATAAGAAAGAAAACCCCGGGCCGGTGAGGGTTAATAATGTGCCAGGAGAGGAAAGGTATACTCTTGTCAGGCACCGTCTGTAGCTCACCTCCTAGTGTGACATTGCCATGTAGGAACCGGCCCTGGAAGATGAGTCTGAGGATACTGGGGCTGCTCACCTGCTCCTCTTCCCATCCTGCACACAAACACAACCACACTATTCACCACATGCTACAAATACACACTTGTTTCAGTTTAACAGGACAGAATGCTGCTTGATATCAAAACTAAAAAGCTAAAAAATAAAAATTAGACAGACACTTTCCATTTAGTATTTCTCACCACCGTAGTAGCTTATTTAAATAAAAAAAAATTAACTGTTGAAAAATTACAGTATGTTTGCCTCATTATAGTACTGAAAAAACACAGAACCTTTCAATACATTGTTTCACACTATAAAGGAACTGCGCATGTCTTCAAAACATTTAATAGCCAGCCATTAGGTGGGCAGTAAAATGCAGTTGTGATTTGCAAAATGGAGGCTTCCTGGTGTGCTCAGGTGACTTGTTCAAAGCAGATCATGAAAAGTCAGTAGGGTGCTCTTCAATAACAAAGCTGGGTATTCCAGTATTCAAAATTCACTTTACACCACTCCAACATGTTATGATTGAAGATTAAAACTGCCTTTATTTTGAGGGCACAAACAAGTAAAAATGTTAAAAGCTGTGATTTGTTGCCTCCCGTTTTGGGGCCAAAATGACTTTAAAATAAACTAACTAGTCCGTTTTCTTGCCATACATGCTCAATTAAAGTTTACAAACTCACCTGCTGGCCAGTTTTCGAAGACATGACGAGCAATGTCTGTTGCTGAGTCATTGGGGGAGAAGGTGAAATCCTGAGTCTTCCCACTTACAAGGATCAGTCGCAGGTTCACCTGTTACCAGGGAAAGAACAGACAATGAATACCGGCTCTAACCCTCTGAAATGAACAAAGATATCAAATTTAACACTTCCACCAAATGAAGCATAACATGTACCCATTTACCCTCACCCCACATGACACGGGATGACCTGACGAGTCATCTGCAGAAATAGGCATTCCTTCCTAATTAGATTTCTGCCTTGGCTTCTGTGGCCCTGAAATCGCCTGTTTCCTTTGTAGCTTCCTGTCAAATGGGCACATCTCCACGGTGACAGGACAGACAGGGTGGGGTCAAGAGGAAGCGTTCTGCCCTCCGGTGACTGTGTAACAGAGACCCCCTGCCCTCTCCCTCTCTCTCCAGGCTGTCGACCTAATGCAATAACCCCAGGTGTCCCAGACAGCCTGGGACGGAGTTATTAAATTTACATGGCCCATGCATAAACTCAGACAGCAGGGGTTGAAGGCGGCATGGTTGATTTATAGAAAAGAAGTCTCTCTTTGAGTCGCATTTAAAAAAACGCAACAGTGGCACAAAATGCCTCAGAAGTCTGCAGGGATAATGACCATCAGGCTACCTCTACAAGCCATCATGCATATGTCCAGTCACACCTCATGAAAAGAAGAAATTACACCCCAGAAACAAAAATGCAACACAGACAACATTTATTAAGTGAGCAATGTAAAATGCTATGCAGCAGACGTCCCGAGACACTGGTCCATCTCCTTGAGTCATGAGCATATCACAGTACAGACGGCCTTACATCTGTCTATGCTCTTCATAGAACAGGAACATAAAATCCAAGTGAACCTCAATGCCTGTCATGTGGAGTGCTGCAATGATGTCTGAATCCGCTACAGTTTCACTGTAGAAGAGGAATGAGACCTAAACGGCTATGCTCTCCAATCTAAAAAATACTTGACTAGTACTACTTTCACATCCTTTTTAGCGGAAGCACTAGATTCTCCAACAGCCAGCAAAAGAGCTTGGTTAAGGCAACGTTTAGACAAGATAACATTTGCATTAAGCAGCCTAATTAAAACTTGATTTGTAATTGAACAATGCTCCAGTTCAGAAAGGGGAGGGCTGATGGCAGCGCAGTGGCACAGCAGATTGAGGCTAGGTACCAGCAGACCTTAATACAGCTCCCAAAATAAATTCAGACAAGGAACAGTGCCCGTGCTTGCTTTGAGAGTAGCTTATAGAATCCAAAAAGAGGCCTCTTGTTCAGCTGTTTTTCTTTTCCCAGAGAGTTTAAATGTACTTTTTCCGCTATTCACACTTTTCAATGACTCCTGGGTTTAAACATTACATCACCCACACCCTGTGTGCAGTGCTTGGCTGGTACTAAATGCACTAGTTCAGAGCAATGTGGGGGCTGAGGGGTGCAAAAAGGTAAGCCAGCTGGTCCTGCCACGATTTAGTTTAAACCCACTTGCTACCATTAACTCCTAAAAATGCTTGAGATGCATAAAACTGCAACTAATTACTTGACTTTACACAAGCAGACTGCAGTTTCTCTACAAATTATGACTGTGTGATAAGTACAAAATACCATATTGCAATTGCAATAGGCCCTGCAATATAGTAAAAAGCAGAGGGGAAACGTCTGTGCCTTTTGGGCCTTCTCTGAATGATTTCTAGGAACTAAAAAAAAATGTTAGTTCATTTTATTTGATAAAATCATGGTTGTATTTCAACTCTGCAATTATTACAGCACTACTCTTATTTCACTAAGAGTTCTGGATGGAAACAAAATGTTAAGTTCTTGAAATGCCCAGCAGAAAATTGGCAAATCAGGAATTGTTTTTCTTCTGTGGTATTTAATAGATACAGCTAAGTGAGCTCTTCTCTTGGTTGTGACTTCCAAGAGCTGAAAAGAAGGCCTAACATGCTAGATTAACCATTAGCATGATTATGAAGTGACACAGGAATCAACCAATCACAATTTGATTTCCAATACGCAGGACCAATTTAATGACAGGCCTTCTGGATGTCCGAGATACATCACTGACTGAATATGAGCCGTAGTCTGCCCGTCACAAGCTTCAAATGGAATGGCTTTAAGAAGCAACAAATGTCTGTGTTTAATCTAGAATGGCTAAAAAACGTTCATGATAATTATTATTAGCTTAGCACTGACAAACTAATAGAATCCCATTGATAAGACAAGATCACCACTGCTAAACAGACACTGCTGAATCTGAATTCTGAACAGTGAAACACTGACCTGCATAATTTTGACCATAAGTAGTTGTTGTTTCTTGAATCATAAGAATTAAAACAAACATTCACAGTACATAAACATCTGAGACTAGTCAGGTTGATTATCATCAAAAGACTCATTATTTTCTTAGAGGAACTGAAAGTTAAGAGAGCACAAACTGCATGAGATACAGGGTTAAGAATGTAAGCTTTAATTAAAAATGTCATCTTAACAAGTTTTAAGTAGGGGAAATTTTACCCAGTGATACGGAGCTTGTCAGCTGCCTGTAGATGAGTCAGACTGATAAGAGGCAACCAAACACACATGTGCTTTGTAGACAACAATACAACTGCAACACACTGGCAGTCATGCACACTACATTCAGCGTTCAAACATCAAGTCAGAAAAAGTGGATATGCTGGTGTTCTTAGCCAAACAATAAATAAATAAATAAATAAACAAATAAATAAATAAATAACACACACACACACACACACACACACCGTGGTCTTAATTTATAGAAAGTAGCTGTTTAACTCTAAATCCCATTGCTAGTCAGAAAAGTCACAATTAGATATTTTCCCCATATCTTTCAGCCCTACTCACTACACACCAAAAACTGAGCAATTTACTGAGAGAGCTCATTTGCATATTGCAACCATTTGCACTGTCAGTAATATAAATGCCAATAGAAATAGCATACAATATACTGTGTAGCCCAATCATGGATCACACAACATCTAAAAGAAGAAGTGAGAAAAGCATGAATTTCCTGTTAAGTTACTCAAGCTACCACAAAACACAATGGTTAATGTTACAGAAAATACAAGCCTACACTTTTAGGTTAGCTGGCAAGATCACCCACACACAATTCTGCATAACACTTTCTGTGGAGAAATATTTATTAGAACCAGTTCATAAGAACCCAGTGAGGGCACCCACACTGGCAGTCTAACCAGCTGTGATAGAAACAGTCCTCACAGTGTCAGGTCCTCCCCAACATTGATCATGTTCAGAGGACATGGAAACCTACTTTATCCTCAAAAACTCATTGCTGTCTTCATATTTTTACCACACACAGGCCTACTTCCTACTACACGACGCTTAACCTCTAGTCAAGCGATAGATCTCCAGTTTGCATACCATCAAGTACTTCTGCTGAGTGATTTTGAAATTTAGGGCACCCCTCCCCCCTTTTCTAGCGCATGTAAAACAACTTGACTTTTGCCAATGAGCGTCAAGGAATAGAACAAAGAGGTCGCACCACATGGTGACGTCACACCAACAGTCTGTTTACAAACACTAAGCCCCTCATAAAGCTGAGGAAAACCCTGCACACACACACACTGCCTAAGGGATTTAGGGGGTTATCAGCAAATCCGTGGCAGATAATGGGAAGCCGTGACATTTTTTGACAAAAACATTCACTCCTCACACCCCATGCACCCCTTTCTCTAAAACCCAGAGAAGAAAACAAAACATCAAATCTATCTGCCCTGGTGCGCTTAGCAACACCCTCTTAACCAAATGACCTAATGCATACTATGTAGCACTATAGGCTTACATACGGTAAATCCTTGAAGGGAATTTGTTTACACTGCGCTGCATTAAATCAGTACTGAGAAACAACACTGAGTGAATACCCGTTATCACTGAGTTGACATGAATATGAATCAAGCAATAAAAAGTAGAGCACAAAAACGATCCAGCTCAACCCCAGGGGGATTCCACAACTTTGGCTGTATTCTGTCCTCATGCCACAATGAAAGATACGAAAGATGACAAACATACACCGTATTTTTGGTCTTACAATTAAATGGAACATTTCAGATGCTAAAATAAAATGCAGGCAGATGTTAAGTTGTGATATTCATAGTATTTTGCCTTTAGGCTACTATTGCCCAACTGAATGTGACAAAGAGAAGTGAATTTCGCAAACCCAAGTACTCACTGTGTCAGACTCTCTTTGAGCGGTCATGGCTCTGGTCAAAGAGGAAGGGAGACAGGAAACAGTGATGCGTCCAAAGGGTGCAAACCCTGGCACAAAGACCCTGTATGTGCTTTTCCCTCAAGCCTTCCTCTGCTTTGCACCGCCTGGCACCAAGTTAAACATTCACAACTGGTCACAACTGTGTTTATAACATTCTGAATTATAAAATAATTTGGCAAAACCGTCAGTATGTGGTTAGTTAACGTGCAATATATATTTTTGCATTATACATTTTAGCCAGCCAACTAATCAGCTGTTGATGATGCTCAGTACAGGTTAGATTTCGCCAGCCACCTCACCGGGTATATATTCTAGTTGCTTCCTTATTTTCTTTTCTTTTTGTGTGGGTATGTGTAAATATGTGTGTGTGCGCGCATGTAGGTATATATATGTATATGTATACACATACATACATACATACATACATACATACACGAGAAAGAAACTAGAATATATAACGTTACTCAGTTAAGTGGCTGGGGAAATTTAACCTGCACTGAGCATCACCAACAGCTGATTAGCTAGCCGGCTAAAATACAAACTCCTGGCTCTAAGCTTATATGTTCAAATACAATTAAATATTGGGAGAGTAAAAATGCCACATACCTTTGAAGTCGTCTGACTTTGGGTGTCACTATTGCAGCAGCATTACCTGACCGCGAGAAAGTTAGCTAGCTAGCTTAGCTAGCTAATGCTGCTACTAGCAAAGCAGATACAGCACAAACACCCAGCAACCAGGCTGATGAACAAATGTAGTTCAGCAAGGTCAACACAGCATTAAAACACCGAAAATAAAAACAAGACCTGTAACGTTAGCGTTCAGTTAGCAGACGAGCACTTGGAAGCTCAACCAGTCCAGTAAAACAGAGCGACCGAGAGAGGCACTGTTAGCTGGCCTGGAGCAGCTACACCGTCTGACTGAAGCTGAAATAATTTCTGACTGCGGCAGAAAATAAGCGGAACCGAGAACGACCATGGGGCACGAACGGGGCCAAAAATACCAACTTTCTTCGATTAAAAAACTCCGAACAAATGTAGCGAACCGCTCATTAGCACAGCGCTTTCCTAACTAACGAGTATATCCATCATTTATCTCGACTGTATCCAGCTGAAAAACAGCAGCGGCGCTGGGTTCAGATTAATGGCTGAGAATTTAAAGACACGGGAAATCAGCTGGCCGAGTACACAGGAAACGGAGCCCGCCCGAGCGAGTCTGGGAGATGAAGTCTCAAGATAACACTCCATTTTGATTACGGTAGTTTCTTTTATTTTATAAAATATGAAAGGAGCAGTATTCACTGGTGTTTAGAAGAAAAAAACTTTACAGTCTTGAACAGTTTTGAATGAGGCCTCAGGGTAAGATTGTTTTGAATGCATGATTATGGAAGCACTACCACATCATTCATTAATAAAGTGTTTATTAATGAAAGTGAGTCTAATACTTTGAACAACAAGTGTTTATTTAAAAATATTTAAAATGTGTACAGCAAAATTAAATTATTTACAGAATATCAAATAAACTTTAAAAGGGCAAGCATGGCGATGGAAAAAAAACCCTCCATTTGTTTCCATTGTAATTTACCTTTTAAAATGCATTTTTATGTAACATGTCTTATATAGAACATTTATATACATATTTTAACACTGTGGTCTTAGTAAATGTAGTATGTAACAGTTTAAGTGACTAAGATACACACACATACATATATACATACATACATGGTGCTGAATTTATCCCATCACAAAAGGGAACAGATGTTGTAACAACTGATGTGATTCTTAACTAACAACAGCAGGCACTGCATTGATAACCTCCAGTCAACTATGTAAACATTATATATATATATATATACATGTGATATAAATGTACTATACCAAATACAAGTTATTTACAAATGAAGCAGGACTTAAAGAATAAAGTCCCATTAACCACACTGGTCATAAAAGAAAAAACAAAGTGGTCCAAAAACACCAAACATTTTCCTTAAACAATGTTGATAATTTAATATTTAATAAAATAATATTAAAATATGTTTTCTTTAAAAAAGTTTGACTAAGATAGACAAAATGATTCCTGTTAGTGTACCAGTCTAGGCAAAATACACAACTGAATGTTTTATCATCCTGCACACTTACACAGTTAAGTAGTGTTTGTTTAACCATGCAAAGTATAAACATTTATACAACAGACTAAACAGATTAAACAGACTTTAAGAATGGTCATTTTTCTTAAGGGGAAATCATGTAACTTTATACATAGTATGTCCTTCAAATTACAGAAATACTACATTGATGTAAAAATAACACCAAAATCCACAGAATAATTTCACTTACATATTCACATATATAAATAATTGTGGATTTAAACAAAATATATGCTTCGATATCAGTATGAAATAAATAACAAAATGCCTGGTGACTTTAAATAGTACCTAAATATATAGATTTTTAGCAATACAATCTCTCAATTGTAGAAAACTCCAATATTCACAGTCTTACATTCTTAGGTCACATAAAATTCATTTTTATGAATCAATGTTTATTAAATTAGCATTAATGTTTTACTATGTTAAAGTACTGTAAAAGATCTGTAGACTGTAACAAATAACAGGAACAATGACACTTTGTTTATGTGGTTTTGAGCCTAAATAATAGCAGCATCAATGGTTCTCCACTGTCCCATCAAGTTATCTTGTGGCACTTGCTGAACACTGTCCAGAGGTAATCCACTTTTAGAGTGTACCATTATGCACTTTAACTGATTTTGCCTAACCCCCCACAAAAAATATAAAGCAAACAAAGTGGACCACCCTTTACAGGTTACACAGCAATGTAATGTGCAAGTGTGAAAGTTTTCAATTTTATAATGAATTTCACCTCTCCATCTTAGGGTGTGTTTGCTTCAAGTTCACTGTCATCCCCTGAATAAATAGGTTTTTTTCCTTGCAGAGTGGGCTCGGAGTTCCTGGGAGAATGTTTTTCGGCCGATGAACTGTTCCTGATTCCGTATGCAAAGTAAATCAAAAAGCCTGAAAGAAAGCATTGAGACATGGTGAGAGAACAGCAATTAAATCCACTATCTGCAGCACAGTCACCACTGAAACAACATATCAAGATGCTTTACAAAGTTGGTGCAAACTTAAAGCTACACTATGTAAGATTTGGGGATTTGGAGCCCTCTCTGGTGGAAATGTTGCAGGCAACATGCAGAAGAAAATTTTGTAACGTCGGCTGTGCTTTGGGCCTCCTCCCCTGGCAGATTAATCTGACAATTCCGAGTGAGTTGAAAGAGTATTCTACTACTATCTACTATTGTCATCATTTCTTCATCAGTATAATGTTGATCTTGCACTTGAGACCTAAACATTGAATCGGATCTCCTTTTTGATTCAATTGTCTTAAATAGTGCAGCTTTAAAGTCAACATGAAATCAAAATGAATCTTATTACCTTATTAGTTCATGTCCCTGGTCATACTAAACACAATCTGTTATATCATTTCATTTAAAAAAAAACAAAATTCCTGTTTTTCCATAATCTTCTATTAAAATGCAATGACTTTTGGCCACCTGTTAAACATCTTCTGATTTTTGATTGCACCAGTGGCCAGGGAAAAATAATATTAACCAGTAGTATCATGTTTCACCCCCCCTTTCGTCTCCCCCACATATCATAGAGTGAAAACACTCAGCTAGCTCAGAGACTCTCCCTACTACCACGTTTCACAGTAGGAAAGGAAAATGCGTTGTGATTTCAGATTCATGTTGACTTTAAAGAATTCATTTTGCAACATGAATGATTTAATTGATTTCACTATTCAAATTCAAGAGCAAGCAAAATGTCTGATGTCAAGCTTACCAATAACCATCCAAACTGTGAAACGAATCCAAGTTCGTCCATCCAGCTGCATCATGAGGTAGATGTTAACAAAGATACTGACCAAAGGCAACACAGGAAGCAAAGGCACCTGGAAAAAGAAAGAAGAAGGTCTTTAACACCAAATGCAAAACCTAAGGCCCTGAAGTCTGCTTATGCAAGGAAAAACAGAGAGATTAATTGCATATATCATCCCAAAGGGGAAAACTGGCTCCATTTTTGTACGACACAGTTAAAGACAGTCACGGAAAGAGTGCAATACAGTGTATTACACAGTGTCAGAGTAGAGTGTTTGCAGGGGATTTAAAAAAAACTGCAGTTTTACCTTGAAGGTTATGACCTCGTTGCTCTGGGGCTGTCTCCAGATGAAGAGGACGCAGATGGATGAGAGGATAACCAGGCTAACCACGACAGTGACCCACACAGGCTGCCCCTTCATGACACTGTCACCCCACAATGCCAACACTATACACAACAGAGTGAAGAACACACCTGCGAGAGAAAGAGAGAAAGAGAGGGAGAGAAAGAGAGAGACTGAGAAAACCTCATTTGTTTCTACATTTCCTGAAATTCAACAAAAAAGATGCACCCAGCAGCCCTATGTACTTCATATTCAGTCATATTCAGAAGTTTAAATGCCCCCAGTCGAATTACATGTTTGGAAAATGTAATAAGCCTGGGATTTTAAGGGGTTAACATATTGTGAAAAAATAAAAATAAAAATGAGCCATAACATTTGCACAGGCCACAATTTATGTCCACCCCCCCTGCCCCCATATATTCATTTCAGCAAATATACAGTCATTGTGCATTAAAATGTGCACAAGTGTGTCCACTCTACAAAATGTGTTCTACAGCAGACATTAAGTGCAGACATAAAGACATAAAGTAACTTAATTTCACTTAGAAAATTAACAAAGCATGTAACTTGACTGAGCTGCCCAGACTTTTGCAGTACAACACAGTGTGAGACTTTAAAAAGAAATCACTGACAACGACTGACAGAACACTGGAAACTCTTACAAGTAACGGCTGTGGTGGCATATACGATGAGGCCTGATGTTTTGGTGGGCGACTGAGAGCTGGGCAGCAGCAGAAGTCGGGGAGAGAAGGTGCCCTCCAGCGCTTGTCCATGCTCGTCTCTACTGTCCCCGTCAGTCATGATGTCCTTGTCAGTCAGCCTCTCCAGTTCCACCATCTTGTCAGCACTGGAGCTGAGGCTGCCTGGCTGGTACCTGTGAACAGAATGATAAAACCAAAATTGAATTTGACCTAAATGCATATTGCGGGTCACTAGAAACCCATGACCTTACCCCCCAATCCACATTTTTCCAAATAAGTGACAAACAAAATAGCAAAACACACTGCATTTAATCAAAGTACTTTGTTATTGTCAATAAGATGTTTTGCGTTGAGGTGTTCTTCCACCAAGTAGTGCGGAACGGCGTGGTACAGTCACTAATCTGAACCCAGAACTATCCATACCCTGGTCAAGTGTCACTTTCCCATGTCATGTGATTTCTTTCATGGATGCTTTCATGAATGCATGAGTTAACAATAAACACAGATAACAATGGCAACAATGGAGGAACTTCAAGTTCTGATTTAGATTTTTGCTCTGCATTTAGTTTTATGTATAGAGTAACAGACAGAGATTCTGGCCATCTTAGGTTTTCAGAAAAGGCGGATGTCTGACCAGAGTGATGATGACATGACGTTTTGTGATGACTGTATTTGACTAAACTGTGGTCTGCACTATTTCTAGCTCTGCTCATACATTCCAGTTTGATAGGCTTGGTACCTCAACAAGAAGGGTAACCAAATTTACCACAAGTGTGATTCACTTGGCAGTGGAAATTACATCAAAATGGTGATCACATATTTAGAACCGTACCGCACTAAGCAGTGGAAAAGGACTGGTTAAAACCATTTGTTGTGTTCACATTCATCTAGCTGTCCAAAAAGTGAACCAACCTGAGGATGAGCACACACACTGCCACGAGTGTGTAAGCCAGCAAGGTCCCAATTGACATTAGGTCCACTAAGGCATCCAGATCGAACAAGAAGGCCATCAGGGCTACATGGAGGAAAGCCACATAGAGAGTTAAGCCACAAACAGCCACTCATTTGAACATTAAGTAATCTAGAGAAAAGTAAACAGTCTTTGCAGAATGAAAGCCCCAGGGAACCTAAACCCATGACTGCTTTCTAATTAGGTTAAAGCTGGTTTTGTGGGCACACATTATGCATGTACAAAATGGGAGTTTTGAATAATGTTCCAATGTCTATTTGTATTTTAACACAATTTCTCCCCTGTCCATGTTAGCTTGGCTATGCTAATCTTGAGTAAAACTTGCACAAGCTTTACTCTCAACCAATGATGCTAAGTAAGCGTGCACAAGCAAACAGTTCTCAGATATTCAGCAGGTTTCTGAGCAATGTTCACATTCCTATTTCTTTCATTCAAACTTTGTTAGATGTTAAATTTAACACAGGTTTAAATCTAAAGCAGCACTGCAGCTTTACCTGCAACAACACCGGACACAATGGTGGCAAGCACAGGAGTCTTTGTTTTCTTGTGCATGCGGGAGAGGAAGCGGAACAAAAGGCCGTCCTCAGCCATGGCAAAGATAACTCGAGGCATGGGGAACATGGAGCCCAACAGGCTAGAAGCAAACAACAGGCAAACATTTAAACTAAGAAAAACACACTGTCATGCCGCAGAGTTTAAAAGAATGCAGTGTTAATCAACTTAATTCGTTTAAACTGCAAAATATAAAAACTTATTAATGATTAAAAATAAACCTACCTGGTGGAAAGGGCACAGAGAGAGCCTACAGCCACTATATAGCGGGCAGGATCCCAGTTCACATATTTGAAGGCCTCAGGCAGTGGGCTCTTAGTGTCCAGGATGTAGTAGGGCATCATCAAGGTAAGGGCTGCAGACACTCCAAAGTAAGCAACAAAGCAGATGAGCAACGAGGCCACAATACCTATTGGTATAGAACGCTGGGGGTTTTTGGCTTCTTCACCTACAGAGGAAAAAAAAGAACGAGTAAGTCAGTTTTGAATTTCCCAACCAAGACATAAAGGTTTTACTTGTGAAGTTTGGGTGTGGTATGACCTACTTGTAGTAGCAATGCAGTCAAAACCCACAAACGCATAGAAGCAGGTTGCTGCTCCAGACAGAATTCCTGAAAAGCCAAATGGTGCAAAACCGCCGGTGCCGAAGTCGGTTCCCCTGAGAAGCATAAGGCAACATTTTAGGTTATGCATGTATATCTAACACTCTAAATTCAAGATATACAAACACAACCCTCTTGGAAACAGCACCCTCCGCCCACTCCCATACATCAGAGCTGTGGTTGGCACACTTACTCGGGTACCAAAGCGCTTCTGTTGTTTTTGATGTTCTCCAGAGTTAGGTTCCAGTTGGCTGTGTCGCCCTTCACAAAGCCTGAGATTATGACAAAACCCAGCACCACCAGGTTGATCCCTGTGAAGATCTTGTTCACCAGTGCCGACTCACTCACACCAAACGCCAGCAGGCCTGCAGCGTGGGAGGTGAGAGTTGCAGAATTATTGAAATCGCCGTCTTTAGCACGCCACTGGTACAGACAGATCCTCACTGTCAGCTAACTGTGAATTTAACTGCATTAATTATGGCAAATGTAAACTTCATAGCCAAAAAAAAAAACAAAAACAAATGACACTTCACAAGAAAGTTGCAATTTAGTATCTAGTATTTATATGTGCCACAACAAAACGTTTATGGGTGTTTCTGCAATTACAGGTCGAGGCAGTGTTTTTTTTAATGTATATTCACATTTTTATTGGGAAGCATAGAAAATGTTTTATGAGTGTCATAACACTACATATAATGAGCTAATGTAATATATGAAGGGTCAAAATTCCAGTTTTATTCATGTTTCACACTTAAAATTTCAACCTTCAAATGCATAAAAAGAAGTTGCAGAATGACAAAATTACAGGTTGTCAATTGAATCTGCCCTGTGTACCATTAAATGGAAACATATTTAAATAAATACTTTTGGTCAATCATTTATGTCAGGTATTTAGGTAAGAAGGACTCACCAGTGAGTAAAAGAATCAGAATAAGCGCAAACAGGTCCGGATATCGCGCAAGGACTCCTCCAGTATCCGGAATAGCCATGGATTCGATGAAAAAGGTGGAGATCTTCTGCTCCACTAGATTGTCAAAGGTGGAGCTCCAGGCTCTGGCCACGCTGGCTGTGCCTGAAAAAGGAAGCAAAGAGACAGCAATTAGTGTATGTGTGAGTGTACAGCTGAGCTGCTCTTCAGACTTGGAGAGCATGCACTCTCAGGCCCTTCATAAACAGGTGTAAACACTTCATCTATATCTAGAACCACTTCAATTAATTTCGAATTCCACATAACTGTTACAAGCTCCTGTTTTTTTTGCCTTTATTAATGAGCTCTCAGGGGCCAATGCTTAATTCATCTATAAGGAATTGACACTGGAAAAGCTTACAGTTCATAAATGATGCATTTCTGAATGTCAAGTAGTCTCTTTAATCCGGCAATTAAACAAGCAGTTCCCTTTAATGCCATGAGACTTCTTTCCAGTTCCAGTTCCAGTTTATTGGATTTTCTTACCTATCACATAGGAGAGAATGAGGTTCCATCCAGTGATGAAGGCCCAGATTTCACCCACTGTCACATAGCTGTACAGATAAGCGGACCCCGTCTTAGGTACCCGTGCACCAAACTCGGCATAGCACAATCCGGCAAGCACAGAGGACAGAGCTGCAATTAGGAAAGAAAGCACAATGGCTGGTCCGGCCTTTTCCCGGGCCACCTCCCCGGCGAGAACATAGACACCAGCTCCTAAAGTAGCCCCGACACCCAGGGCTATGAGGTCCAGAGTAGAGAGGCAGCGAGCAAAGCGAGTTTCTCCCTCACTGGTGTCCAACATGCGGCGACGCACCAACATTTTCCCAAACCCGGCCAACTTCGCCATGGTGATTGCTCAGTTAGAATGGACAGAAAGTAGATAGAATGTTGAAGACTCTGGATGAGAAGGCTAGAAAGAAGAGAAAGACAAAATTTTAGCTTGTTTTATGCATTCAGAATCTTTTGTATTTGCCAACTACAGGGAATTTCTCCTGGTGTTGGTGTCAACATAAAAAATACATTACGTTATAATGGTAATATATTTATCCTTAACACAGAATCATAACTGCATTAGAACTAAAACGTGCAATAGATCTAAAAATGGTGATATGTTTAAAACAAGAGTAAAGTTACAGTTACAAGGTTTCAATGTATGCTGTATATACACAAATGAAAGAAAATGTATCTAACCTCTTTGTTACATTCAAATCCACTAGTCACGATTAGCTAATATGCCATAGACAAGTTTGCAGAGCAGGTTTTGAAAAGTTTATTTTTCCATTATCCTAACCTCAGAGCATTTGATAACATCTATCAACTACACTGACCTTCTAATGACTCTGCTAATGGGTACTGGCGTGGCAGTCTAACAGTTTAATGTTTTCCATCCTTAAACAGCAGCTCAGAAATGAGAAAACAATCTCTGTTCATAGACACCAACCAAACTAGATTGCAACTAAGGACATTTTGTTATGTTTCTGTCATAGTAAAAAAAACATCTTCCCAAACTACAGCATAAAACGGAGTATAGCTTACAACATAATATAGACTGGTAGATGCGCTGGCCATTCTGAACAATCAAAGGTTTGGGTGGGGAACTCTGGTCCTTGGGGGGATGTGCACTTTTTGGTGATTTCTCTCCTCAAACATATTTGACTAAACTCACCAGTTAAATCCCAGGTTTGGTCGGTGTGTTCATGCAGAGTAATCAGTAACTATGCTGGATTTTGGCCTTCGGTTCCCCACCCTAGGTCAAGGGTACACAACCTGACACATAAGATGGCTACAATTGTGTTTATAGATGTAAGGGGGTAACAGGGTTGTAGTAACACCTGCGATAAGATAATGTCTTATCTTACTTTGCTTCCTGTATTTAACTCTGCAGTTTAGTCATCACAGACAAAAAGTACACAAAGTGCTCAGGTGCACTTAAAAAAAGCTCCAGCAGACATTTCAGTCTGTGCTTTTTGCAGTACCTCAGCACATTTAAGTGTAGCAATTTGTCTTTCATCTCTTTTTCTGATGGCTTAACAGGAAAGCCTAAAGTGAACAATAAAATCAGTGTCAACAGCCTTCACAAACGCAAAACTCTGTTCTCTTGCATCAATAAAGGTATGTGAGGCAATACCCAAGCAGCAAGAGCCAGTTCTGGGCAGTTCCATGCGTCACAACACACCCACCGACAACGCGTCCAGTTACACCACACAAAAAGGGGGAGATGTGGGCAAGGGCTGCAAGGCCACAAGCATGCCAAATTCAAACTCAAAAGAGTGCTTAAAATAAAAATGCAAAGGGGAAGAGAAAGACAGGGATCCTGACTAACCTGTCTAGACCTGTGACTAATTAAACTTTTAAAACAGAACATAAAAGAGTAATGATGCAGGAGAAGATAATGCAACACCAGTGTAATAACAGAAATGGTCATAATGAAAATTAGTACGTGCAGGGACACACATTAGTAGAGGAAGCCAGATCAAGTGAGTAGATTTCTCCTTTTTGGGAAATCTGCTTCGGATCAACAGGTTTTCCACATACACAGCAACCAGAGCAGGCATGCAAGTTTGATCAAGCCCTGTCTGGCAGTCACAAGTCTAACCCGGATGAGCAGGCTTGGCTCAGCCAGACGACTGTACTTGAATTATTTAACACTTGACTTTGTACGTCTATTGTGTATGTGTATTTCCAAACGTGGGTTTTGTAAACAGGGTGTCCCTTGAAAAGTATATCAGGATATTCACCTTTTCAAATGAAAAACAAGATATGAAAGAAAGACGCAGCCAGGAATACAACTGGATGAGACTTTACACAAAGACCCTGTAAAAAACTGCCGTTTAACTTTAAAAATTTGCCTTACGAGTTTGAGTTAATTAAACTTCTAAGTTAACAGAATAAGAGTATTTGCCTTAATTTCTGTTGGCTTTTTATGTTTTGTACTTTTTGATGTTGTATAAATTATAAATTAAAAAGTTACTTTTTTGAGTTGAGACACTATTTCTTACAGTGTATAAATAATTTATATGTGCAAGACCTCAATTTTGTGTGTAGTGCATCCTTTGCTTCATTTCCGTGTACCAGAAACCACTTTGCATGCTGCTGATAGTAAAAACCTGACGATTCCTTTATGTCACAAGCAGGAAACCACAGAAAACCAGACTGGGTACATACCTCAAAATAATAAGAAAAAGAAAAGAGAAAAATGCTACATTTCCTTCTTCTTGACAAGAAGGAAAGACAGAACTCAATTGTTGCAAGGAAGAGGGAAGAAAGAGGGCCAAAAGTGTTTAACAAAAAAAAAGAATGGAATGGCAACGTGGCAGAACAGACGATTTGAGTTGACACCTAATTTTAAAGACTACAAAAGGAAAGACTACCAAAATTGAGTTTGTACAAAAAACACGCAAAGGTTGTTAATGGTATAAATGTGATAGTCAGATCTATACAGGATTTTCTTCAGTGTTCATCGACAGACATTTACATTTGCATTGTCCAAATGAATGAAGTGCTATTCGTCAGATTCCTGCTACTAAAAAAGCAATCTGAACGGCTGCTGGGACAAACAGCCATAAGACCACCTCTTGCTCCCCATCAAGAATTCTATTGTTTTGATACCTCGGACAATGCATTTCAATAGCTTTAGCAACCAATGCGCATGTACTGCACATTTCTGAAAGTGGCTCCATTTGGCGAAGCCATTACTTGGTAATACTCTCCAACCTTTGGGTCACCTTTAGGCAGTATGAGGAATTCTATCACTTTAGAGGCAGTGATTATCCTGAAGAAAATCTGCTGTTGTGAGCTACTTTTAGGCCTAACACTAACACGTCCTGCCGTAAAGCGAGCACCACACTGAACGCTCTCTCTGCCAGTTACGGCTAAGATGCTTTCGGGAAACCCAGCCCAGAACAGGAACTACAGATGTGACACTCCCAGTCTGATGTAACAATCTTTATGTTTTCATAATTGTTAAGTCACACATGAGAAGAACTTATTGAGAATAAGAAAAGCTGGTAATGAGAAAAGATAAAGCATGAGATAAAGTTTATAAGCCTGTAAAGAATTAATAAAAGCACAGTCAGACTACATAAACACACTTAACATATTTAATGCTTATCATATGCTGTGCTGCATAAATGTAAAATCACACCCTCATTTTTACAGTAGTTCTGTGTAGCAGGGTTGGCCAAATGGGTAAAAAAAGGCAAAAATGAAGAGCGTGATGCCACATGCAATCACAATCACAGGAAATACGTCTACACATCTCCACATCCTGGGGGTAACAGGACCCCCAGCACGTGTAGTTCATATCACAACACCATCACTGACAATGATTCACATGAGTAAAGAGATATGATCAGGTTAGAAAGAATGCAGCTAAACTGGACTATACAGGAATCACGACTGGAGATATCACTCCTGCGGTGGTTAAAGGGAATGTGAGCTCATTTATGCTCTGAGCTTTTCCTTCCTTTCGGCGTAGCACAGCATCTCATCCGCGCACATACGACTCGAGCACCTCGTGGCGCGATCGCTCTGAGAGGCAGCGTAAAATTCAGAATACAAAGACTGAGCCAGTTATCCGAGTCACTGAGAGGTAACCGAACTGGCTAATCTAAGCCTCTCTCAGCATTATCACTACTACAGTTGTATAAACAGCTTCTACGTTAGTCTAACGTTACAAGTCACATGGTTTCCTTAAAAATACGTGTAATAGCTAGAATGAGCCTCACTATCGAAACCTGTTGTAAATCTATTAATCAGCTGATATCAGATTATTTCGACGCTCTTGCTAAAGTTTGTAGGTTTAAAGTGGTTGAGCTGTTAACCCGACTAGAGAAGTCTAACCAACTTTAGACTGTAAAGTTCGCGACGAGTTAAACGACAACACATTTCCTAAAACCTCACAAGATAAAGACTGTTATAATACTGTTTTATATAAACGTTAGCAGTAAAAGTTTAGTTACCCGCTCTTTTGCCGGTTTTACCACTCCAGCAGACGGTGAGGGATGGTGTAGCAGCCGCGGTGGGTCTGTGAGATACCGGACACTGCAGACGGAGCGGCTGCCGCTGCTTCCTTATAAGGAACGAGATACTTGGGTTTGTGACGTACAGCAATGACGTCGATTACGTGGAAGCCCCTGTGTCTGGAACATCTGCGGTAACCATGGGTTACGGATGGAGTGACTAACAGAGCTGCGGATGCTCTCATTAGATTGTTCACAATTTCAGCCGCATAATTCAGTCAGTGAGTTGTAAACAAAGTCATACAGAATGGTTGGATGTAAAATGGCGCACTGCAGAGAAACGTACTGGCTCAGAACTTTCAGAATGGGGTGGCCAGGTAAGATCAGAGATTTACTGGGGTGGCGCACTGCTTAAAAAATAAAATAGCGTTATTGTTTTAAAATGACACATTCATGCGTTGTTTTTTTCTCTCTACTTAACTAAATCTGCCCATCATTTCCTCATGAATAAAATATTGCATCAATACAACTACTCCCAATAGTAAACTGAAAGACAACACTGTGCTGATGTAACACATTTTAGTCATTCATTAGGAAATTATGTACTTGAATAATTAAGTAAATTTCAGTGCACAACGTTAACTGTAATGTTAAGGAAAACAATTCAAACAGACAGGCCACAGGAGTTACTCATTTAGGTTGCATTCAGTACAGGCTATATATAAGTCTATTGATCGGAAAGCAAGCCAGACAGCACTGACTGGCTCATATTACCATCGAATAGCTCATTTCATAACGTAACTCACAGTGCAGCACTGCTGAAGCGAATCACTGCGATACATGCTAATTATTAAATGCAACAGACTCTCATAATGGACTGGTAACCTCCCTGATGACAGATTTTCACCATTAAGCGTAACTGATGCTTTATTGATTATGGCTGACTGATGATGGTTGAGGTTCCATAGCTGATTTGGCCATGCCTCATGCTAGAGTGGCACTGGTCACCCCTGGCCACCACCTCTGGCTCGCATTTCTTTACAATGGTGGTAGATGAACTAGGGATTGATGTCTACAACACTAATATTTTACTCACAATCCAAACCACTGAGCCTGTCTTCTGAGTTTCTATGTTATGTTGGTAATGGTAAAATAGTGGCAAAGTTTTCTTCAGGTATTATTTTGGTACCGCTTCGCCATGAATTGATTTTAAAAACCGTCTTCTCAAAACTATTATAAAACAATGTCTCTGGCATCAGGAAATGTATATGTATTCATGTAATAACTTTAGGTATCATTTAGAAACAAAATGCACTTTGGACGTCTGGTTCCTATCACCACTACTGTAGCAACGCTGTTTCACTAGAATGGAGCATTTTGCATCAAACTATTCTGAATGACTTTATTTACATCTTAATGATTTATTTGTACAGACATTTTGAAAAATCATTGAAGTTCCTTTTAAATAGAGTGGCGTGTATCAGAGGCTGAGGATGAATGTTCTGCGTATGGTAAGATTAGCTGAAATAAGAGTGCAGCAAAATAATGTTAGCTTACAAGACAAGGGCAGTTAGGGTCAGTGACATCCTGAGTAAAAGCTGGGCAGATGTTCCTCCCCCTCAGGTCCCCAGTGTTTTGCATTTTAAAGGACCCATATCAGGGAAAACCAAATTTTCCACAACTTTTTAAAATTGTGTTGTGATAGTATGTAAACATTGTTAAACTTTCAAAATGTACAGCACATTTCTAGTCCATAAATGAAGTTGAAAAAACAGCCTATTTTGAATTAAGTGTCTTTGTGATATCATGCACCCCAATGTATTTACATGTATCAACCTGTTCAGCAGTCTAGCCCCACCCACTCGTGCTGAAGTTCAGCATGGAATGCTTTTTGATTAAGGCACAATACAAGGCAGTTAATTGGAACAAAGGTGGTTTATATATCAGTCTTAAAGCTGCAATAACAACAGCTCTTATAAAGGTTGGATGGTCATTTAAAAGTAAATTATGTCTGTTATTGCTACATAAAATCACACAGATGTCATAAATCCACCTTAGGGAGAAAAATAAAACACTAGAAAAGTGAAGGCTTTAGGCCCTTTATGGGAGAGCGCAAGACATGGCTGTCCAAGAACCAAAAAACGCGACTGCAGACTCCAGTCCTGATGGGCCACAGTAGAGTTCAGTTCTACCTCATTAAACATACCTGATTCAAGTCATCGGCTAATTAACAGGTTTAGAAGAGGGATAATGCTAATGTCTGTACAGCTGTGGCTCAGCACGAACCTAATCTGACATGCCTGTGGTAAAATTACCAACTCTCCAGTAGCGCTGGTGATATGGCAGAAATAGAGCACCATGATCCTTTAACACTTTTTCATGATACACAATATGCATCATAAGTTGGAAGAAAGAAAAGGACCAGCAGTGCCACATTTCAAAATACTATCAAAACTACGAATATCTTGTTTTTTATTCAATGTTTCATATACTGCGCTACAATAAATCCAATTAAACAGGACTAGTTATGCTCGCTTTGTTATGAAACATGCAGCTTTATGTAAAGACCATGTCCACAATATGCTAAGAAAAACACAGCCGTAATATGACAATTTATCACAGCAACGATAAACGTTGTCATATTGTCCACCTTCACTCTTTACTAATCTAGTAATCTGATTTTTGAGCTTTATTGTTGGAATTTGTTAGTTAAAGCAGAGACTAGTTTCAACACAAATTAACTTGAGAAGCCTCAAAAAGCAAAAGTCAAAAGTGCTTAGTGCATCTTTAATTTAAGTGAAATCAATAAACACATTTAATCAATATACACACAGGATTAAAACAATTACAAAAATTACATTAGCATTAAAAACAAACTTATTCAACACAATAAAAAGTTATACACACATCTGGAGGATTTTAAATATTTTGTAGCATTTAAATATAGGGTCGGTTTCACAGTCTAAGCCTAAATTTAGTCAAAGACTAGGGCTGATCTATATCAAGAAAATCCATCTGGGAAACTGGCCCCTGACTTCTATTCTCACTTATCATTTCTTATATTATTTATTTTAACAGTCTAATCACAGGAAATAAAGCAACAACAGATTTTGTAAATATCCCACCATTTCTGACAAAGAAAATCTTTTACAGGAACACTTCAGCAACATTCAACTTCATGAACAGTTACATGAAACAGTAAACTTTACACTTGTACACTGAAATAAAGAAGTCTAACAGGCAAACTTAGATGCCAGTACCAAGATGCCCATCATACTTGGGATTCTGGATGAAAGCAATTAACAATGCAGAGGAGCCATAATAATAGTGTTCATTTCATGTATGTCTTATCAGCTCTACTTTAATAGCTTTATATAAAACAGGTAATTTTATGTAGTACATGTTAAAAGCTCTGGCAAGCATCAGATATATAACACCATCAAGCCATGTTTTTTATAAAATGTAATAAAAACTACAGCCAGCAATTTTGACTGGAGTTTAAAGAACTGGAGACGACATAAATCTCTATCGTTTAGTTGATAAGTGGTGGCTAAATCTTTTACTCTGTCATTCAAAATACAAATAAAATTCACTGTGAAAATACATTTATCTTGCTAACAAAGAAAAAGGTCTAGCTTGGACAGCCATGCCGGGATCTCTTACATTTACATAACCTGTCCCTTTAGAAGGAAAAACAAAAGAAAAAACTCAGCCACACAATATGGAAAAAAGTCAGTTAATTACTGTATTTTATTAACAATAATATCCAATTTCAATAACATACATAAACTGTCTGTAGGCCAATTCAGGTTTTTCTTCACTGATGCTCTGTGATAAAGAACAAACATTCATTATTTAGGTCAGAACAATGCTTTTGTTTTCGGAACATAAAAAACACAAAATTGCAAGCAGTACATTAAGCCATGTAACTTCAATTTAGTCATTACTCAGTACTAAGTAACATGAACCAAGTTGAGCACTGATTAAGAAATACCTGCTTGTAATCTTTTAAATTCCTCTAAATGCGCCTCAAACTTTTGTTGAAATGGTAACCAATTTTCACAACCTGAAAGATTAAAATAAGAGACAGATCCTAAGTAAATAAGAGACAGATTCATAACTCTTTTATAAGTTATAATATAATATACTCATAACAGCTTACTTAATAATATCATTTTGATTTACAAGTGTGAGAATTACATACTTGCAGATATTCGCCCAAGTTCTTGAAGAAATCCCCCTAATTCTTGGTGGAACGTGTTTAGTTTTTCTTGAAGTAGTGAACAATTTTCACACTCTGGGGACAGAGCAGTAAACAAAACAAAACAAAAAACCTTTACACTGTGGTTCACAACCAGTTTTTCAGCTGTTCTGACACTCATGCTCCAGCATAGAGAGGGGTGATATCAAAAATATAATAGTGATACTTCAGAAACACCATCAAAAACTGTATACAATGATTTTTTTTTCAGTATTTGGCATACGGTGTTGCACTAAATCCAGTTAAACAGGACTAACTTTGCTCTGTTTATAATGAATAACCTGCAGTTAATCAGTGTTCTACACGTACTAGTGATATACACAATATGTTCAGAAATGCATAACATAATTTATCACCATAACGATATATTGTCATATTGCCCAGCCCCACTTCAGTGGCTCTTCAGCTAAAGGCAAGGATTTATATACCAGTGGCTAGAGTCAAAGAACTTGATGCACTAGAGGATAGGAGCCCTAAAAGGCAAAGAGTTATTTACTCTGTTCCTGTAATGAGTTATATGTTTTCTTAGGGTTTTGTAATGTCCATCACAAGATGGCAAATGTTTTCCTGAGATGAAAGTGAACTTTGTTTTTTCAAGATAAGGACAAGATCCGAGATTTCTTAGGGAGGCGAAAAAAACCCCCAAAAAAACAGAGATGGTAAGCTTTAGGAGCCTGTGTGTAGTATTTCTCTGTTTGAATAGCATTGCTGTTGTAGAGTGACACTGGGTTTCAGTAAGGAGCCACACAAATTGTGTGATAGAAAACTGCAGAATCTGAAAAACCAAGTCACCACTACTGAAAAGTGTGTAAAAGGTATGAGTGTTCTCCATGTCATATAAATGCGCAGTCTGCTTTCTACAACTTGCATTTTATGCTTTTTATCAGTTCATATGTCTGAGGAAGCTGAAGTGGTCAATAAAGCTGGCAGTGAATCTATATAGCTTGCTAAACTGTGGGTGCCACTGAGTGAAGGTTTCTCATGCTTCTCGGTCACAGGCTTTACACAGGCTTCAGTCACAGTCTGCTAGGTTTAGCACTCAGTTTTTCAGATCATCCTCCTCCTGCCTAATTCAGGCTTTCTTGAGGGCTGTTCACTGGACCTACCACTGTATGAATCACCACCTCCACAAAGGTCTGTTTGAAAGGCAGTGTTCTAAGTTCATTTTGTGCCAAAAGATTCAAATAAAGTAAAATCCACAAGCAAAATGTTAAGCATCAAAATGTACAGCATGTTGCAAACACAAATGACAGTTCAATGAAACAATTTTTCAAACAGATCACTACTCATTCTCCCAGAATTGTTGTTCTGCTTCCAACATCTTTCTTCTGCTTTTCACTTGTGGCACATTATTACTATTATTAGAAGAGCATGTTCACCTGTGCTCTCCATTGATCTGATTTGGAGTGACCCATCTTCTAACACATAGCCGCTCGACGTGAATCGGCCCAAAATGGCGCAAGACATCGTACTGAACGCTGCCTTGGGTGCAGCGTTTTAATGGCTTATCCAACATTATGAGCAATGTGTGTCATATTCCTTTTAATTTAATAAAGCAACACGTGTTCAGGTTCCTGTAGCTACGACAAACAAACTTAGCTGTTTATGAACGAACGAAGCCGTACCACCTTTTGGGATTCAATTATTTCCTGACCCAACACACTTGGGCCCAATCCCTACCCTTTGTTTTTGAGCATCACCTTAGGCCTTGGAACTAAATTACAAGATATATTGGTTGAAATCTTCCCCTACAAAATGGGACAACCTTCGAATAAAAAAAATAAATAAAATAAACAAACAAAAAATAAATAAAAAAAACCCAACAACATTGCTTCATTAATAGGCTACTATTGGTGCTCTGTAGGCAATCCTGCAAGTCTGCAGCAAAAGCAGAGGAGTGGTAAAGTTTAGCAACCTCACTGCTGGCCTTTAGCTAAATTTAGGGAATCAAATGCCTTCAAACAGGGGGGAAGCGACAACTATTTATTACCACCCATCCTTAATTCTTCTGTGATATGAAGCTGAAGTAAGCTATTAGCTAGCTTTTTGTCCAACTTTTCCCGTTCCACCTTAAATGGTGCAGCAAGTCTGATGCCTGAGGTGCCAGAATGTAACTGCTGGGATTTAAGGTGGAACAGGAAATTTAACTAGCTAGCTAGCTACCGAGACATCAGAATACTACTAGCGATTTTTCATGCTTGTTATAAGGACCATAACACATTGAAACTACATTAAACCAAGATAAAAAGTAAGATAACCATTTTATTAACGGAGAAAATACTTGCATCTGTGGGTTTTTTTTGGTCACTTGCACAGCCATATTGCTGGTTTGAAAATGGGTGAAAACCGGTAGTGATCTTAAGTTTAATTTTACTATAAATTGTATTTAAAACTTTTGGCACAAAATTAACTCCACAGTGCTCAGGCATACTGTATACATGACTATCAGTTGCCACTTCTTATTTTTTCCCTCAATAGTAGGTTGCTTTCTTCATGGTATTTGAAAGGTAGTATTTTGGAGACTGTGTAGAGACACACCCTGTTTCCACTGCAGGCACAACTTTTGGAAAACCTCAAGTTTGCTTAGATATGGTTTCAGCTTTATCCATGTTTCAGGTCCATACAGAAGGACAGTGCTCAGAAGATGTGCATCTTTGGTGTTCTTGATACATTTTGCTCATGGTAGCCTGATTAATTCTGCTATAAACCTCAGGTCTTAAAGCTACTTTCTTTTCTGGCACTTGTGACACTAACTATTACTCACTATCACTGATCTGCTTGATTTGGACCCTCCACGGAAGGCTGCAGATCAGGATCGTCAGCTGTCATCACCTTTATCTTATCAGTAATGATATTTTAACCCATATGGCAGGAATGAAGATCTCAAAATAAGGAGGTCATTATCATGGGGGGGGGGGGCAAAAAAAAACAAACAAAAACATGTTACCTCCATCTCAAGAAAAATTGTTTTCTTTGGAAACATCTTATCTAGCAAAATAAGAAATATACATATACACCTATCAGGCATAACATTATGACCACCTCCTTGTTTGTACGTTCACTGTCCATTTTATCAGCTTCACTCACTATATACGTGCACTTTGTAGTTCTACAATTACAGACTGTAGTCCATCTGTTTCTCTGCATACTTTGTTAGCCCCCTTTTAACCTGTTCTTCAGTGGTCAGGACCCCCAAGGACTATTTGGGTGGTAGATCATTCTCAGCACACAGCAGTGCTGCTGGAGTTTTTAAACACTGTGTCCACTCACTGTCCACTCTATTAGACACTTCTACCTTGTCAGTCCACCTTGTAGATGTAAAGTCAGAGACAGTAGTCTGCTGCTGCAGTTTGTGTTGGTCATCCTCTAGTCCTTCGTCAGTGGTCACAGGACGCTGCCCACAGGAGGCTGCCCACAGGAGGCTGCCCACAGGAGGCTGCCCACAGGAGGCTGCCCACAGGAGGCTGCCCACAGGAGGCTGTTGACTTTATATTTTTGGTTGGTGGACTAATCTCAGTCCAGCTGTGACACTAAGGTGTTTAAAAACTCCAGCAGCACTGCTGTGTCTGATCCACTCGTACCAGCACAACACACTAACACACCAACACCACATCAATGTTACCACAGTGCAGAGAATGATCCACCACCCAAATAGTACCTGCTCTGTGAGGGTCCATGGGGGTCCTGACCACTGAAGAACAAGGTAAAAGGGGGCTAACAAAGTATGCAGAGAAACAGATTGACTACAGTCTGTAGGTGTAGAACTACAAAGTGCACCTATATTGTAAGTGGAGCTGATACAATGGACGATGAGCATAGAAACAAGGAGGGGGTCATAATGTTATGCGTGATCAGTGTATAGAACTAACTTGTCTTAGGCAACTGCGGTTGGTGAATGTGACTTTATGGTCTTCTAGGGCTTCCATGCTCAGAGTGGGGGAATGCAGCAGCAGTGCAGAAATTCTAGGCACAGCAGCTTGCTGATCATGGCTAACATTACATATCTGTATGGTGTGCAAACCAAGAAAGTTCCAACATATTTGTCCATGTCACAGCTGAACTCTCTTATTTGTAAAAAAACCCACTAATAAATCAGTGAGATGTTTAAGTCCAATCCAAACAATACGAACAGTGAATATACCCTGAGTGCAGTGTGCTTATTTTTTAAATAAATCTTATTCTTTGTGAAGTGAGAAAAGGAAATCAAATATTGAAGTGAATGACTACTTTTAAGGATAAGTACTTTGACTATTCTACACTATGACTTTTACTAAAACTACATTAAATAAATAAAGTAAGTAAGTAAAATCATAATATAATCACCTTGCTTATAGTGTCACAATATATTAAATCATAACCCTTGTATTATGATAAGTTTTGCAGGATCTTGCCAAAAAACAGGCCTAAAATACAACACAGGCTCTTACCAGTGTTAGGCTTCTTTGGTTTGCTATCTATGGGAACAGTAACTGGTTTCTGAGCACCTCCACCTGGCTTCAAACTTGCTGGTGCTTCAGCACAGGATGGCTGGTGCTGCTTATCTGGATGAGGAAAATGTTGAAATCTTGCTCAAACATGCCTCAGGTCAAAGCACATCATATATGCAGCTCATTAGAGAAAAAACAAGCAACCAGACAAATAACCATACCAGTTTTTTTCCTTTTTGCCAATGGCAAGGCATCACTGCTTGCATGCTTCTGGGCAAAACCTGGAAGCAGTGAACTCCTTGTCCTTATACCTTTAATTCAGGTTTAATACCGTAAATATACCAAGAGAACATGCACCACAACACTGATCTACTGAAATAGATAAATACACTATCTACATAATAAACTACAACTTTGCACACACCTGATAAACCAGTTGGTTTGTTAATGGGCTGAGAATGACCACTCTCTGCTGAGTAGACCACAACAGCAGGTGCTTTAAGACCAAATCTCCCTCGGCCAGGGGGCTGTAGGCCAGATGGCTTAGGCTGTGTAACGGGCTTTGAATCTGCAAAGACACAAAATAAGAAACAACTAATAAGAAAAAAAACAAACAAAAAAAAAAAACAAACAAACAAACAACAAAAAACTTTACCTACACATCACACCTGTACAATAGCCTTAAATGTAAAAATGCTGCAATAAAAAAAAAAAAGTTAACATATCATATATGGCATTTTACATTTGTCCAGCAGTATGAAGGAGTGCTATACCCCAGTCTGCCCCCTTGTGTGCTGCATTAAACTTGCATAGCCACAGGTAAACTATTACACAATCAGCAGATTACATCTAAATGACTTCACAAACAGGAAGCTTTAGCTGGCTTATTTGAACCATTTCAGCTTACACAGGTTGAAAGAACTAAGGAAAGTTCTCCAAAGATCTATACTATATCAAAACTGGTCTCCTACTTCAGTTTTTTTAATTACATCATCCAGAAAAACTCCCTGAGGCCCTAATAGGTAGCACCATGCTCATTTTCACTCTATATGAAGATTCCCAAAGCTAAGATGCTTTCACAACAAGATCATGTAATTCTTAACAGTATTAACTAAGCTTTCCAGTACCGTAATGGCAATAAAAATAGCACAGATCAGCAAATCACCATAGCATCAGACAGAATACAGACAGCAAGACTCCTAGATGAAGAGAGAATCAAAGACTGAAATCCCTCACCTGTAGTCAAAGTACATCCACTGCTTGAGGTAGCCACAGATGATGTCTAGGAGGGAAAAAAAGCAAGCTAACAAAAACAGCGCACATAGGGTACTGTGCAAATTAGAGATACACGATCAGAACAGGCCAAGATTGGAATTAGCATATTTTTGCTCCAAATATGCAATCGGCATTGTCTGACTTAGTATTTTTATTTTGGCCAATTTTATGATGTAAATAGCATAAGGCATGTACGTGCACTCACACTGTATTTGAGGGCTGCTGCTACATCTATACCAATGTCACAGCATAATTATGCATGACACATGGTGCTAAACAACCAGCTGCTTTTTACTTTTGCTGTAGCACTTTATTTGATTCTTGTTATTTAAAAATTTTAAGTGGCAGTTTGGCCCATTGAGGAGCAAATACTTTATATGCTATTTATATAACAACTTTGGCGATTAGAAAGTACCGGAAATGTACTAGTGTGTTTTATCATTTCAATAAAAGGAAAAAAAAAAAACAGCCATAAAACTTTGCGATCAGTGCATCCCAAGTGCAAATGTCTTAGGCCATTTGAGAATGTTATATGTAAAGCTATTTATCCAGGGAGTATGCATTATTTCTTTGAAAAGGCACTAACAGAATAAATACAACCTAATAAACAATATCTGAAAACACACTTACTGCAGAGAAAAACAGTTTTAAATAATTTAAGATTACCCAAGATATTTGCACCCTACATAACTGACTTTACAGGGGTAATATGTTCAGGCCCTGTTTCCCAAAAACACTGTTGCTTTAAGGTCAATCTAATGATTAGTGAATGTTCACAGTGTTATTTACACTAAATGTGTACAATGTTAGTTGCTTTACAACATTTCTGGCAAAGTCAGCTCAAATGTGCTTTAGTCCAATATATAGTTGTACACAAATGTTTGAACATCCCCAGTGTTCAAACTTTAGTGCCCAATTTCTTATTATTTGCCGAGTTTAACATTGGGAATAAATTTAATATAAAATGTGACATAACTTTCGCACAGGCTACATTTTTTTTTTACCAAAAGTGTTAAATTCAGCAAACAGTAATTGTGCATTAAAATGTGCAGACGTGTATTCTCTATAGAAGATATTAACGTATTTACACTCAAATAAATAAATAAACGAAAAGAATCAACAAAATATGTAATTTAACCAGGGGCTTAAAATTTTGCATACAAATGAGAATATTTACACAATAACTTTAAATATATATACAAAAAATAAACATTATAAGCAAATGTATTAAATGAAATGAAAAGAAGTTTTTCCTACACTTACAGTGCCTCCTGTTAAGGTGTTCTTAGCAGGTGCAAGGTTTTTTCCTTTACTTAGCTGGACTGTCCTCTTCATGCTGCGCAAAGCAGATGAGGATGTCTCTGGCTGATTTGGGACTTGTGCTGCTGATACCGTCTTTGTTTTAGCAACCATTGAAGTTGCTTGTGAGGTGGGAGGCCTTGGAGGGATCTGGGTCTTGGGAATATTGGATTTACAAGAGGGCTGAGGAATTTTCCTTCTGACTGCAAGTTTAGAGGGAGGTTTGTTTGCAACAGCTGATTCAGAGGTAGAGGAATTTGAGGTGCATTTTGTTGAAATCTTCTGCGTCTGACTACAAGTCTCAGACTTAACAGATGCCGAGTTGCTGTCTGATGGATCTGATCCATCATGTTCACTAACACCAACCAGATCATCTTTTGACTGTGCATCAATACTATTGATCACAGAAAGTCTTTTTTGCATATCCATGAGCTTTGCACATGTCAGTCTGTCAAAGCCTCTGCCCAGAACGATAGGAGTGGATGTAACAAGAGCACGTGATTTCATCTCAAGTGTATCATCCAAGGAAAACATGCTACTATGGCTCACGTCTAGGTTGAGACAAAACTCCTGTTCAGAAACTCCATTTCTCCTCCTGAATAATTCCTGATGCTCCTCTGCTTTACTTTCAGCATCAGGAAGGTCCAGAGTTCTGTTGGAGCAAACTACCACCTCAGAATTCTGCATGACGACAGGCACTGTGCTGAGGGGTCCAGGTGGAGACGCATCATCTACAGCTGCACCAACACCAGCCTCAGACAGTGCAGGTAACTGTGTGTCAGGGGGCTTCGTCATATTCATTGTGGTATTCACATCTGCATTCTTCAAGTTGGAAGCAGGTCCTGCAGACATGAGATCAGTGGTTGCATTATGTTTAACAAAGGTCCTGTCAACTGGCTGTGGATTAGCAGCACTTGGCTCACCAGCTTCAGAAGAGACATGAGATGCACCACCATTTTGTTCTCCATCACCAGTTAAGTCACCACTTGCCTCCTCTGGAATCTTTGTAAAAGTGCCATGCTTCTCGCAGTCTTCACCAAGAGCAAGTCCTTCATTGCTTGGCTCTTGTTTTGGAACATCTGATGGAGACTGACTAATATCTACAGTATGATAAAGCTTCTCATTTAGCTGCTCTGTGGTAGTGTTTGAGCCACAAATTTCAACTGTTGAGTTTAAATGTTTTTCATGCACAGTTTCCAGACTGGCATTATTGGCACTAACAGAAGGACTAAGTCCAGGAGCAGATGTTTCTTTCAGTTCCTGGGTCTTCTCAAAAGTAATGTTTGACTCTGCCCTTACAGGGAGAGACATAGTGGAATTCAATGTAGAGGACTTCTCTTTAAGGTCTTTAGTCATGTCAAAAGTGCTGTTCTTTGATTCTAGCTTCATGTCACCTTTCCCTGAACAACTAGTAGATTCTGGGAAATGTGAGCTAACGTCATGCACACCTCCCTTCGGACTGGTTTCGGTGACGTTAGTAACCTCTTCCTGGTCATTCTGTGGAGATGTAATGGACATGCTCAAGTCTACTGAATGGCCATTCCCAACCGGTGCACTAAGCCAGCTGCTGTATGCTGCCTTGTTCTGACTACTTAATCCCGAAATGACCACAGCTTGACTTTTTGTCAGTGTTCTTAACTGTGAGCGATCAGGGTGATCAACATTGTTTCCTGGCCCATCTGAAATGAAAGATGGATCTACAGTTTCATCAAAAATTCCAGATATGTACGGTAAAGTTTCATCACTGATTTTACAAAATGAAGAGTTGGAACACAGGTCTGGTAATGCGAGAGCCTGGCTGGTAGGCAGGTGTCTCTGGAAGATGGGCACTCCGAGTCGAGTGCCACGATCCTCACACCTCTCCCTGTGAACACTCTCCATTTTTTCAGAAAGCTGAGGACACAGAGAGAGAAAATCACAAATGGCCAACTGCACCTGTGACATTACATACCCAACTGAACTAGCATTCAAAAGTTTGGGACCACAAATTTATTTTATTCAATGTTAATCCTAAAAAGTACACTAGCAGGTATTTCAATGATGTTTAATTCAATGTTTCAAGTTTTTTGGAACATCAGAAAGTTTTGAAATAATAAATAATATACTTTAATTTCTCATTCACAATTATTGATAAGGTATCTGCCTCAAGATTTGATTACCCTGCTACTTTATTCTCTATGATGATAAACAGCTTTCATAACATATACAGCTCAGACACATCTAAAAAAAATCTTTTTTTTTACTTTTTCCCACAGCTCCCTTCCTCTGCAACATTTTTGAAGTGGGATCCTAAACTTTTGAATAACAACGTATAAACTTAACATTTTGAATATTTTTACACCAAACAGTAAAAGAACACATCTTTGTGTAATGACCACTAAGACTAAGTTAGTTATGAACAAAACACGGTTTTATTAGGTTAAATCACAAACCTCTGGAGTTCCCCGTAGTTTATATAGAGGCTGAACTCGTTAGGTAGCTAAAACAAAGATGTGAAGTTTACAAAATAACGAAGCTATCAGTGGTTGACGGTTGGCTATGTGCGTTTAAGCTAAAACTGTCATACAGAAGTACATATCGTAAACAACTGTTATCACGAACGTAACTCTTTCACTCCTGCTTGTATCTTACCGTGAATAAATACGTTACCACGTTTAAAATGCAGTTTTAGCTCTCGACAAGCTAACACAGAGCTAACCTAACTAGCTTACCTAACCAGCAGCTAACAAAACATCACGTACCGGCAGACTTACTGTGGTCTGGCCAGTTTGTGTCTAACGATAAATTAATTCTGTAACTAAAATCTTTTAACTGACACCATACGGCACATAGAACAACTTACCAATTCACTCGACACAGCAGCCTGCCAGCTATCTCGCTTACCTAGCTAGGTTAACTAACTACATAAATATGCCAGAGACAGTTCAGGGCGAGGCGGCGTCAGTGCAGATTTAAAAGTTGCGGCGCGGTTTTTGATTGGATCAGAGCAGAGCGACGCACACAGGAATCTGCAGTGACGCTCACAGACGAGCGGAAGCCACGAGCTCAATAAAAAACTCAAAAAAAGTCACTCATCCAAAAAGGAGAGGAATAATACACCATACCACAAATACATACATACAGACATACATACATACATCAATAATGAAAAAAAGGAGTGAAAAAAGTACGGAGAAGATGTACGTAGGTGAAAGTATGAGAAATTATTACTCAGTTTAAAGTAGAGGAATGGAACAAAAAATTACGTTAGTTGAGTGAAATATTCACATTTATACATACTTGAAGGGCAACTTCACCACTTTTTCAAAATTTCTAAATAATTAAATGGTAAACATGTAAACAAAGTCATTCAGAGAATTACATTAAGAGTGTACAAAATACTTGATTCTAAAGAAACTTACTGAGTCAGATTTGTTCACAGTGGTGGTGAACGAAACCAGACATCTGAAGACTTTAAAGCCTCTAACCGCTCCCTCACAAAAAGATATTACACAGAATGGTTATGAATGCGCTGCCTGATGCCTGAGGCACTGGTTTACGATAGTTTTGTGGAAAAAAAGTTTGGGCCTAGTAGGTCTTGTTAACACATTTATTTTAATCCATTCATGGCGATGGGTACATGCAGAGTGTGGTAAGGGAAAATAGTCCCCCCCCAAAAAAAGTATTTTTTTCAGATTTTCCACTATTTTACCATCATAAACATTGCATATAAAACTCAGAAGACATGTCTAGGTTCCCTAATGGTTTTGGAAAATAAATGAAATGGTAATATTTGTGTTGTGGACATGGCGACCCCCGGTTCCTATCACCACTACTGTAAAGAAGTCCCAGTCTGTAATTTTCTCTACAACAAACCATTTTGCATCAAACCACTCTGAATGACTTTGTATACATCACAACAACAGAACTATGCAAACATTTAGCAAAAATCAGTGGAATTCCGCTTTAAGAATGTACAAGTGGAACATTTTAACAGAACTATTTAAAGTTTTCTTTGTTCTGTTTTCTGTGGTGTGGAGAAAAATGTTCAATATAGGTCCTTATTCAAGGATAAATTCATGGGCAGTTTTATATTACACTGATGAATTTGGCTGGATGTTTAAATAACATCTAAATGCATGACAACAGCTGGTTGGTAAGAGAAAAATTTACTGACCTTCGAGCTTTGTAACATGTCGTTTAACGGTCTAAATGAAAATATAAGGGAAAAAAGTATGTTTTTCTCCTTTAAAAGTAATGTTAGAGGTCAAATATTCAATTAAAAAAATATTCAAAGTACAAATCTTCCAATTACTTAAGTATTTTCCACACCTAGTAACACCTTTCCACACCCTGAGCCAATACTTGATCCAATAGGCCACATGTACTTCTCAACAACAAAGCACTGGGCTTTATTTCAAAGAGATATTGTTTCTCGTCCTTGTGTTTCATTGGAACAAATTTGTAAAGGAATGAATTAATACATGTTGAGTGACTAATAAAGTAAATGTCATTTAAATTATTACTGTGATTTTTTTATTATATTAATTATTATATACCCAACGACCCAGAAGGATAAGCAGCTTAAAAAATGTGTGTGTGTGTGTGTTTGTAATTATTATATATAATTATTATATCCAAACTACTCCTCCTTAATTTACGCCTCGAAACCTTGCTTCACTTTTTTGGCAATGTAATGTAAAAACTGTAAAAATATTTAGATTTTTTTCTCTGTACCTGTATTCTCCTTTCAACAAAGAGAAAGACTGTGGATGTTTACACATCACAACTGTACCCCCAGATATGTTTACTTATATATTTATTATGTAAATTCATTCTTTTCTTAGCATTCTTTGAACACTTTCTGTTAAAATTTTAGTATTTGTCTTAGTGGAAAAAAACACAGCATAGCACAAACTTGAAGAGTTTTATTTGGAACCACTGAGTGTTGACCTGACAGCAAGACAAGTTGTCCATGATGATTCTCAGTCTTCCAGGTCCGTGAAGTGTCTAGAAGAAGTGAGTCATGGCAAAAGGAATGTATATCCGTTCATCCGAGGGGCTTCAAGAGCGGTGGCAACATTCTTCACTATTTCAGGCAGGTCTGATGTCAAGGATGATAAACTTTTGTGAGTCACCTAACCATGGCCTCCACTTTTGAAGATCTGAACAAATGAGCATTCAGTGATACCATCAGTATACAAAAGACTATTATTATTCTAACACAAAAGACTTACAGATGGGTGATGAATTAAAGGAAAAACCAACATGAAACAACTTAGTAATATGTTGGGCCAACACAAGCCAGCAAAATAGCTTCAGTGCACCATGGCAAAGATTCTAAAAGTCTCTGGAACCATACTACAGTGATAGAACAGCATTCTCCTAAAATCTCTCAAGTGTTCAACTGGGCCGAGAACTGGTCACTGCAAAGGCCATAAGATTTAAATCTCGTACTCATCAAACCATACAGTGACCACCTTTTGCCCTGTGGGGGGGAGCATTGACATCCTGGGAGAGACCACTCTCATCAGAATAGAAAAGTTTCATCACAGGATAAAGGTAATCAGTCAGGATAACTTTTTATTGATTTGCAGTGATCCTTCCTTCAAAGGGGACAAGTGGTTCCAAACCACACCAGCACAAAATCCCTCACAGTATAACAGAGACAAAGGACCCCCTCACTGTAGGGGTTAAGCAATTGCGTTTGTATTGTTCTTTTGGTGTATGCCACACATGCACTCACCCACTTCTGGAGAATATGAAGAATGACTCATCTGACCATATCACTTCTTTAGACCAGTGCTGATAATTTCAAATCACCCAGCTGTTCAACTGGGCCAAGAACTGGTCACTGCCAAGGCCATAAAATTTGAAGCATTTTTATACTCGTCAAACCATTCAGATTTCTCCTCACGAAAACCATTGAACACCTCAAGAAAACAAAATACTTCCAAAAGGGAAATGTATCAAAGTGATTTATGCTCAATGCATTAAGAATAGCTTGTATTTATTCATTCAGTTTACACAACCAAATTTAATGAGCAAAGACAAAATGATCAAAACTACCAGTGTAAATCTAAATATGTTTTTAGGCAGGGTGAATAAATTAGGTTCAGCCAGTGTGTTTTCAGGGGTGGACAATGTTAAGTTTGAAACGTATATATTTGTGCTTGCTTGCAATTTCACACTTCTTAAAGGAGTGGACCTCCCTTTCGGTCCACTTATAATAAGCATGAATGGGCGGGGCTAAATGGCTGCAGGCCAGATACGTAAATATATGTAAATAAGTTGGTTCTCCTGACCTCACAAAAACATTGAATTCAAAACAGACTATTTTTATAGCTTAGTTTCCATGTATCGACTAAATGAACTGGAGAGTGAACAATGTTTTGAAACATTTTTTTCTTACAAAAAAGCAAAGGGCATTTGGTTTTCCCTAATATGGGCTGTTTCAATGATTTCAACTGAGGAACCTAATTTGTTTGTGTTCGACAGTGTGCAATAGATAGACTAGTAATGGTGCAAAAAACTCAAGTAGGCTGACGATCCTACTACTACTACTACTAATAATAATAATAATAATAATGATTATTATTATTATTATTATTATTATTATTATTATTATTATTATTATGGTGGTGGTGGTTGTTGTTGTTACTATATTAATAATATATTATTATTATAAGTAGTAGTAGCAGTAGAGGTAGTAGTAGTAGTAGTGTTCTATACTGCTCTGCGGCCTGTGAGCGAGATGATGTGTGTGTCACTGGACACTGGTTGGCCATGCTTACAGAAGTTTTGGGTTCAGCTCGAGCTGTTTCCCTGTGTGTCGGCGTTACAAGACGCTATACGGAAAACTGACCGTCAGTGAGCTGCTGCGAAAAGGTTTATAACCAGGCAGACTGCTTTTTATTTACTGCCATAATTAGATAAACGCTTGGAAGATCCCGACCCCGGGAGCTCAGGGTTGCATCATGCAACGTGTCCTATACCGCCCACCACTGGCAGGAGAAGAGCTGTACACAACTCCTTATGGTCAATGTAGTTTTTACAGAGATCTGGCTACCTGTAATGCTTCTGCGAGTGAACATAAAGGCACGTTTTCCTATGAAAAAAGTAAAGTACGATCATCAACAAGCAGAAACGCACTGTATGGCAAACGTACTGTAGCTTTCTCCCATAGGCAAATATTAATAAGGTGAAGGGACTGTAGATATACAGCTAATACAGAAATTTGTTCATATGACTTTTCAGAATAGTCTCTTCAAAAATTAAGAGGGAAACGTAAGATGATAGAACACATCATTCGTGTGTTTTAATTAAGCACAAATGAGTGGCTAGCCCGTCTCAGACAGAGCGCTAGAGGTAAAGTAACGTTTAAAACAGGACAAAACTACGGTAACCTACACGAATGATGCTCTAAAATTATTTTAATCATTCATTTATTTTAAATTGACACATCAGCAGATTTTTTTTATCAAAAGCGTGGGCTGACGTCCGTCACGTAGCAGCTTAGTTCTCTTTCCCACAGTTTTAAGTGCTTTAAGTTCTAATGAGACGAGACAGTTTTAGCATCGACTCGCCACAACACTTTGTTAGAAACCATTACATAACGGGAGATTTTGAGGGCCCGGAGCTTTCTTCGGACTTCATCCCCCCCCCCCCCCGTCTACACACACACACACACACACACACACACACACACACACACACACACTGGAGAGGCTCATCACATGACTGACTGCATTTCCCAGAGACCCCTGCTCGCGCGTGCGCAGTGCGCGCTGGCTGGCGGTGGTAAACAGACGTCAGAAGGGAGTCTTCGAGTCAAAACAAAACAAAACAAGATAGAAACGATGAATGACTCTGAATATCTGCATTCACCTCGCAACGGAGAGGATTGAACACTAACTACGATGGGAAACAGGATTCCTTGAGAAAATAGCCGTTTTCTTCCACTTTTTGCCTTTTCCAGCAGAGGGATTTTAACTCATAAATAACTGGAGGAGTTAGTTGGCTAACTAGGCGGCCGTCTGGTTTTCTCTCTCCGACAGAACTATGGTTTTGAGTTTTTGCACCGGGCTTTCGAGTCGCTGACGACTGAGGCTGGAATACGGGATTGAAAGCTCGCCTTTTTGAACAGCACGAGGAGCTCGAGGTCGGTTCGGTCCGGTGTGTGTGAACGGAGGGACGTGGCTCGGGAGTTCGGCGCCCGCGCGAGCATCGTGCGCAGCTGCGTGCGGAGGAACATGGCAGATGGCGGCACGCGCCCGCACACACGGCGTGTAGGAGCGCGCGAGCGGCGGTAACACCGAGTTCTGTGGGCTTTTCCGGGCTCTGCTCAAACCCCGCCAGCAGCCGGGCTTCTGAAAGTCTCTCATCATCTAACGAGATATAATATATCAGCTCAGAGTGTTTGGGCCGTTAAACTGCTGGCCGAGATACAAACACGGGCTTTAAACGGCGACAGTCTCGCAGTTTGTACATTTAAGCACCGAGTATCGCAGTGAAAGAGTGAAAAATACCTGCTTTCTTGTTTCTTTTTTCGGTTTGTTATTTCTGCTTTAATAATCTGAAGTGGTGTTTGGGCTCAGTATGGGACTCCCCGGTGTGAAATGACAGACGGTGCGTTGAATTTGACAGACACCGTAATGTTGCGCAAACCTTTTCCTTTAACTTGAAGAAGTTCCTAAAGGCCGGTGGACAGTATTTTACATTAAATAGGAGGCTGTTGTATGCCTAGATTTATGATAACAAATAGTGTATTATAGAAAGTTGTGAAATTATAAACTTGAAAGTAAGTGGTCTTTTATTGTCGATGATTAAGCGTTGGATGAATTGCTAAAGTGAATCAGGTGGGCTGCTAGAAACAGAAAATAAGAGTGGAGGGGAGCATTTCAGTGACGGTGTGTGGGTATGGGAGTTAGCGTAATGTGAATTTATTGATCTGTTCCCAGGTATTTTTTCTTATTTTGGCTTCATTACACGAGTTTTTTTTTAGTTTGTTCCCCTATAAGAGCGCTATAAACCCATCAGTAGATTAACTCTGCAGTGCTTTTCTTTGTTTTGATTTTCAGTTTTGCCGCTGGCCATCCAGATGTTTTAATGTATTCCAGTAGTACTACGGTTTGCCATGTGAATTTCCTTTGTTCGTCTGTGTAAACAAAGAGAGCCCCTTTCGTCCCTCCTTGGCTCTGGTAAATCGGAAGGTTTATGATAGTTACTATTAAGGAGATTATTTGGGCCCTTTAATCTCCAATCTGAGGATTAACTGACGCTATATTGGTGTGTCCAGATTATTACGTCTCTGCTCAGCCTGTCGCTCTCCTGATAGTGCTGGGGCACCTTCAGCAAAACAAGAAGAAAATTATCAGGCGTTTCTGTCATTAATTCTTATAACCAGCTTAGCACATTAGCCTAAATTGCAGGTACACCGACTCCCCACCTGCCACTAAGAACTACTTGAAAGTTAACAGTCAGTCCGCGCTGGGATTGTTGAATTAAATATAAACTAGCCATTTTAAGTTACTCTGTCTGTTTTGTCGTAATATTTCTTATAAAAACAGCAGCACGTACGTAGTAGTTGGACAATATCACCAGTCACTCCGTCGAAATTCGCTGAAATCCGCACAATGGAGGCGGAGAGCGTCCCCCCGATTGACCCAGATTTTGAGCCACAGAGCAGACCGAGGTCGTGCACATGGCCGCTGCCTCGGCCCGACATCTCAGCTGTCAAAGCGGAGGGGACAGACGGCGCCGAGTCCACCGCCGGGACCCCGCCCGCCGAGGAAGACAAACACGAGCCTCAGCAAATCAGCGCCGAGCCAGAGAAAGCTGTGGCCTCGGAGGGAGGAGTCGTAGCCGGCGTGGGCGGGGCCACGCCCAGGAAGGGTTCATCCCGTCGCAACGCGTGGGGCAATCAATCCTACGCCGATCTGATAAGCCAGGCCATCGAGAATTCCCCGGAAAAACGACTCACTCTGGCACAGATCTACGACTGGATGGTGAAGACGGTGCCGTATTTCAAGGATAAAGGAGACAGCAACAGTTCTGCTGGGTGGAAGGTAGAGTTAAGACAGCACTGATAATTACAGATCATTTCAGACCAAAATTATGCAGACCGTGCACAGTAATTGCTATGAATTATTCTATTTCCACATGTGTGACATTTCTCTGCACTAAGAATACTCAAAGCTTTATGACAGGGTTACGAGGGGCCTTAGCTGTAGAGTTTGAATTAACCATTAATCCTTAACCCTTACATTAAGTCTTATATCATGTTAAGTCCAGTAAATGTAAATTTCTTTTCTTGTGTGTGTTTGTCTCAACCCAGAATTCCATTCGGCACAATTTGTCCCTCCATAACAAGTTTTTGAGAGTACATAATGAATCAACAGGAAAGAGCTCATGGTGGATGCTCAATCCCGAGGGGGGGAAGACGGGGAAAGCCCCTCGCCGCCGCGCTGCCTCCATGGACAATAGCACTAAATTGCTGAAAAGCCGCATGCGGGCTAAGCAAACCAAAAAGCAGGCCGGTGCAGGTGGCATCAGTGGTCCTGGAGGTGCCATCCAGGGTGAGGGTGTGTCTGGGGCAGGGGGTGCTGACAGTCCTGGCCCTCCGGGACAGTTTGGGAAATGGGGGGTGAACAGTAGCAGCCCATCATCCCGCGGTAGCTTGGATGATCAAGACATGTGGACAGGCTTCAGGCCACGCACCAGCTCCAATGCCAGCACCCTGAGTGGCAGGCTCTCTCCAATTGCCCCAGGACAAGAAGACGAAGACAACTTGCCTGAAGATGGGCTTCTGAGTGGGTATACGAGTGGCAGTCTTCCACCGACACTTACTGAGACCCTAATGGAGGAATTGGACCTAATTGATGGGCTTACTTTAATGACAGCACAGCAAGGGGGTGCAAGTCCAAGTACTGCCCCCCAAGCCCCACCTACACCACTGCCCTCTGCATCTACTCTGCTGCCTCGTGGAACTAAATTTCCCTCTTATCGTCAGCTGCAGCCAGTGAAGGGACCTCAGGGACCAACCCAGCCAGGGTCACAGAGCTCAGTTCAACAGGGAGGGGCCTCCAGCACGAGCCCATCAAACTTTGGCAACTCACTCTTTAACCCTCTGCCTGGACCTGGATCTCGGAGTGGGTTCAGTACTCATGTGCCCTCCAGCCTTGAGGCACTTCTCACTTCTGACTCGCCCCCACCAAGTGATGTCATGATGACTCAAGTGGACCCTCTGATGCCCAGCCAGGGAGGTACTAATCTCCTGGGGCTTGGGGGGCCCATGTCTGGCAACCCAGCTAAGCCTAGTCAGATAATTTTGGGCAAGAGTATGAAACCTAGCCCAGTAGGGCAGATGACCCTTCAGCCCCAGACCCAACTACAGCCACAGCAGCAGCAGCATGCTCAGTTGAACTTTGGCATGCTGCTGTCAGGCATGGGCCAGGAACCAGCACAGCTAACAGCCATGAAGACCCAACATCAAGTGCCAGGTGGAGGGCTACTTCAACATGGAGCTGTCCCTTCAGCAGGAGGGAATGGAGGTGTTCAGGGGATAAGCCAGTTTGGAACACCAGCTTGCTTTTTGCCCTCTCAGGACCGTCTACCCACAGACTTGGATATTGACATGTTCACAGAAAACCTAGACTGTGATGTTGATTACATCATCAACAGTGACCTTATGGATGGAGATGCAATTGACTTCAACTTCGACCCCATTGTACCAGCTGGGCAAAGTTACCCTGGGCCAGCGACCACCCAGAGCTCCTCTCACAACTGGGTGCCCAGCTAACTTTGCTGAAGGTAGAAGCAGGTAAGGCACATGGTGATGCTTTTCATAAATTATCATTGCAGGTGATATACCATAGAAGAATTATACAATTAACCATATCTCTCAATCATTCATGGTGTAATGTGTTTTTCTGTTGGCTTTCTTCATGTTCTTCTCACTGTGAACAAGAATTTGAATGTGAGCTTTGCGTTTAACCTTTCGTCTTTTTATTTTTATTACAGGACAGTTCTTCTTCCCTAAAAAATGATGGAAACTCATGGTGCATTGCCTAAAATGTTGACCCATTCAGTTTTTTTCCCCATTGTACCTCAAATACATAATCTGTTTTGGCTGAACATATAAACTGACTTGGCCATTTTTTAAATGTTTTTGGCAACTTTTTTTTATTTGGATCACAAAAGCAAACAAGTGCCAATGTATACCGGGAAGTGGGCTATTGGACACCTAGACATCAAACACAGGAAACATCTTGAAACATGTTATATGTACAAAAGTTGCTGTTTTGTCAGATGCTGGGTAGGAAAAAGAAGAGAATACAGTAGTGAAGAAGCACAATTAATGAACTACTAATCATGCATTACAGTTATGCCTATTACTAATACCAAAGTAGCGCAAGACTGAGATGGTACTTCTCTTCTTTGATCTAAAGACAGAACTGACTTGGCCAGGAGAATCAAACTTTGCAGGTCCTTAAGACATGAGGACCTCCCTTTATTGATCAGCAGCTAAAAAAAGAACCATGAAATTTCAAAACAAAGTAAAGCTGCATTAAGCACTTGAATGGATCGGTGGATCAGATGGATAACACAGCTGGCTTTATCACTAGAACGGATCGGTGGATCAGACGGATAACACAGCTGACCTGTCAACTTTCTGACGACCTCCTGAAGGCAGCATTAAACCACATGAACACATAAAACAGTGTAATCTTCACCATTTGACAGAGTTTGAATGGAGATGGTCTTACTGAGCCCAGAACATAATGTATAGTTGGACACACTGTGCTCCAGATAGCACAGTCTCAGTGGTACGAGGTGTACTCATACTTTGTGTCTTAGTATGGAAGGAGGCTAAACAAAAGAAAATATTTCAAGATGGTTTGGCAATGTTATGGCGTTTAATGAGCTTTTAGTTTGGCATGTATAACATCTGCTCAGGAAGGTATTTTTCCCCCTTGTGTGCTGAAGATTGGAGGCTGATCACTAAGTGAGACTGATTTTGAATACTTGCTCTTAAATTATGTTATTAATAGTATGAAGAAATGTGACACACAGGGCATTTTGATGTACCATAGAATTTGAATGATCGCTTCTATGGTTTTTACCACTCTGCCAACAAGTTGAATGGCATAGTGTTATCAGAAATAGAGTGCCCTTTTGCAAGATGCAATATTTGAAGTTTTTTTGTGTATTGCTTGATTTTTCTAGTACTCGCAAGTGCTTGAATTCGCAGAAAAGAATCCAAAGTAATGTTGAATCATTTCATTTAAAGGTTTAATTGATTGGTAATTCAACAGACACTATACAACACTGTGTCTATGGCATGTAGAATTCTTTTAAACTGTGCAAAAAGGGGGTGAGATGTTATTTTCTCAGTGATTACTCTTTCTAATTTACTACTAACCATCTTTTGTATAAATTTGTTAAAAAGAGAAAGAAAACAATTGATAATATTGACTACAGTTTTATTGTCCAACTTAGATTGGGGCTATATTGTTATTAAGCAGATATTCTTACTAATCAGAAAATACACTGTTCATATGTTTTGTTTTTTTTTAAACTGCAGAAATGATCACAATTTTTAACGGTCATTTTCTATGTAATCTTTTATTTTTGTAAGAGATGAGATGCATGTAGATTTTATACATAACCAAAGGAACACTAAGAACTGCATGTCAGACTGGGAGAGCTTGAGATGAAAGTATTGCAGTGTAGATAAGCTTTACACAATGGAGCCTGTTAAAATATTGAAGCATTAACATTTTATTAAGTCAAATAAATGGATTGCATGGATGCATTTATTAAGATAACATGCTTTGCAAATTAGAATTTGTCATGTGATCTCTATATTGTGATAAAAAATTGCAGATGATGTAATGAGCTCTATCACATTGCCAGACAATTTATATGATTTCATCTCAAAAAAAAAAAAAAAAAAATACTGCTCAAACAGAAAGTGGAAGATGCAATGTTTAACTCTCAGGGTTTTAAAAAAATAATAATAATAATGAAAAAGAACTTCCTGAAGGAAGCGGTAAGATAATCATATTGAAAACTCATTGCTGATTTTATAAGCGCTACCCAGCCATCACTTTCAATGTTTTAACATTGCAGAAGTATATCTTCATGTTCCACTTGATGTATGCATTTACAGAATTTTGATAAAAAAAACTGTTGTAAACTGCCAACGAACACTATTGCATGTTGCTCTAGAGCAAATCCTACAGCTCCATACTCTCATCTTTTCTTTTCAACATCTTTTGAGTTCTGCTTTAGAAAGGTTGACATTTTCCTTCGTTTGGTTGGTCGGTTTTACTCCGTTAGTTTAAAATCAGCATTCTCATCTTCTTTATATAGATTGGACTTTGATTTGCGAGCTGGATATTATTCATCATTTAACTGTAATAACTTGAGTATATTAGATATAAACTAACTGTTAAAAGCTCTGCGCTTGCAGAGGATTTATGTTTTCTTCTATTGATCGGTGCTAGACGTTATCTATGACAATTAAAGAGGGCCATATTTAGATTTCAGGGCCTTGAATCATTTTATGCAGCACATGTTCTGTACAATTTTTCAATATAGAAAATAGAAAGATAAATTGACCTATATTATAATCCCCAAACATTGTTAGTTTTGTAGATTTTGAATAACTTTGTGGATGCAGATGAGGGGGTTAGCCATTGAATTAGTCTCTCACCACACATCAAGTAACAATGCACTACATTTCTTAAAATTAGCCTCTCTTTTAAAAAAAAATGGAAAAAAAAGAGGAAACATGGTGTTATTTCGTTATTAAGGCGAATGATCTCGATCTGTATTTCAATTAACCGTTTACATCATCGCTCTGGTCTTTTTGGGCTTTACCTTGTTCATGCATGTGTGTTTGTGTGCTACATGTTCTGTATGTTTGAGTTAGGAATGATGATGTATTGATTGTGTGGTTGGTGACGATAGCTGATTGGAGAATGACAGTGAGTATTGGACAATGTACATCATAAGAGGAGAAAAAAAACAGCAGACTACGTTTAGACAAGCAGGCCAGAGTGCTGAAATTGGATTTGTACGTTGTTTTCTAAAGCGATCAGACTCGCCTCTGCTGATGGTTATTAGAGCAGAAGTTTTCATATTAAATACGTACAAGTGAAAACAAATAAGACTGCAAGTCAAAGCAGAGTCCTAAAGGTTTGAATACCAAGTGACTGACAAACTAAAGAATTCTTTATTTCTTTCTCTAGGAATGACAGTGGATGTAGAGAACTAACAGCGTTTTCAGTCAAAGTGTTCATTTGAGAGGTTGGTTGGATGTTGGAAAATGAACAATATAGAAATCCCAATAGACAGGGTCACAGACTTTCTACAAATGTTTTCATAACCTCCAAATCACATCTTATTCTTTTGTTTTTGTATTAGCTTTCTCATTTTTAGTATTCATTCTTCTAGTTTTTTTTTTCTTTCCTCCTGAGATTCTGCTAAGTATCCCATTTCATGAAATATTATTTTAGTTTATGAATAGGATTGAGTTTTGTTTGTTTGTTATGGGGGAAGGCGGGGTATAAAAGATTGGTGAGTTGTGCATAGCCAGTTTACTGTATGTGTACTTCATTGCTTTGATTTATTTTGATTCATGTTTTTTTTCCCCTTTCCCCTGACGTTCTTACTTTAAGTTAGCCAGAGGTGACTGTGAAAGCAGTCATGGATAACTGAAATAAACCTAATCAGTTTAACTCATGTTGTCTCTTGTGATTCTCATTTCAAAGTGGTGATTTGCTATCAAGCTGAAATGACTGGAGATACACTGCATGTCCAAAAATTTCCAAGCGCCCCTTGTAATTAGTGAATTACGCGACTTTAAAGAAGAATTCCAATGATTTTTCAAGATTTCTGCATTATTACATTGTTTAGATACATATACAAATTCATATCTTTAAATGTGAAATGATGCACTACAGAGAAGCTTACAACTCAGATTTCTTTACAGTGGTGGTGAAAGGAACCAGGGGTCACAATATCTACAACATGAATATATCCATATATTAGTGTTGTAGATAACCTGTATGTTGATTATGGTAAAATCTGAGAAAAGTTAAAATCTAAAAGTTGGGGGCTGTCGTGCCTAACTGGATTTTAATCCATTTTAGCTCAAACCTGAAGGAGACCAAAACAATCTCTCAGGTATGAGGCAACATATTAATAACCATTTCATGTAATATCAGAGGTAATAAAGCGAGGCAGCTTTTAGAGGCATCAAAATCCTGGCATCTGGTTCCTATCACCACCATTTTGATTCTGACTCAGCAAGTTTCTCTAGAAGGCCACATTTCACACCAATCCACTCTGAATGACTGTTTACATCAGTTTTTTTAAGATTGGTGGAATTCCCCTGGAAGGTGCATTCTTTGCTTAGAAAGGGGTTCAATTGTGCACACACAGCTTGTATAATCTCAATACAAAAGCACTGATCAATAGAATGGAATGATCTGGAGCAACTGCACGAGCCTCCGATCTCCATGCCCAGTGCCAAGCGTCAGCTAGAGGGGTATAAATGATGGAGCTCCATGCAATACCTTTGGAGTGCCATTTGTGATTCAAAACATCAGTACCTGACCTCATTAACGCTCTTGTGGCTGAATGCCTTCCCAGAATAGTAGACGCTGATATTAAAACAAAGGTGGACAAACTATTAATGCCCTTTTAGAAGAAACATAGGATGAGCAGGTGCCTACACATTTTGGACATATAGAGTATGCTGCCCCCTCAAAATTCAGAGACAGAGCTCTACATTATGGCATTTATAGTGAATATTGTGAGGAAACACTTTAAAGCTTAGCTTAAATTAAACTACAGATATTTCTGAACCTGGATGCTGACTGGCTGAGATGTTCACAGTGTTAACACTACCTGCTTAATGTTGTTTTGAAACATTATGCTGCATCTGTAGATTAGAGAGAAGAAACATCATGGTGCAGATTGTTATTTCAGCACTATTAAAACATCACTTGTACTTGAGCCCACCTAGAGGGGCTTGTAAACAGAGATGGGTTTGATATTCATCTACACTCAGGAGAAAGAATAAAAATAAAGGGACATACAGAAACAGCCTGTGGTTTCTAAGGTAGTTTCCTTCTGTAAATGTAACTTTTAGATCAAATGAAGTTCCTCGTAGACCTGCTTAAGGTGCCAATAGTTTACTGTTTTTCTCAGAGCAGAGACTGCGGTAGCAGAAAGCATGCCCGTTTGGAGGCTGAGGTCTTACTTCGGAGGGTTTCTGAGGTGCTAGCTATAACAAAGCATTATGGTATTTGTGGCATTTTAAGCTATGCTCTTGAGGGGCCTCTTTGGGAATTAAATGGGTTTCTCAGGCTTTGATGTCTCAATGCGTACCATTCTTGCTCTTAATAATTTCAGACAGCCTCTAAAAAGCATACATAGAATACTATGTTTAAGAACCTGTAGAACATATGTAAACAGAAATAACAGAATGTGGCCTTAAATTGGAAATTCCACTATTTTTTCAAAATGTCTGCATAATGTAGTGGTTGAGATATAAAAAAGTCATTTAAGGTGGTTTGATGTGATAAAATGGCTCATTTGTAGAGAAACGTAATGACTCAGATATCTTTACAGTGGTGGTGATAGATAGCAGGATCTCTGGTTCCTATCACAAAAATATAGCCATTTTATTTACTTTACAAACCACCAGTGAACTTTCTGTGTTTTAGATTTGTAATGTTGATGATGGTAAAATAGTGCTCAATTTGGGGGCAGAGGTTCAATATGTTTTAGCCCAAAACTTTGTCACAAAACTACTGTAAAACAATGTCTCAGACATCAAGCTGAGTATTCATAACAATTTCATGTAAGAACTGTGAGGGAGTATTTATAGGTGGATGTCTGGTTCCTATCACCACCACTGTGAACAATTCTTTCTCAGTAAGTTTTTCTAGAACAAAGTATTTTACATCGTACCCACTACGAATGACTATTACACCGAATTATACTGAAATTTTGAAAAATCTGTGGAGTTCCCCTTTAATTGCGGACACATGCAGAAATACACTGGTAATTAGGTCAGGATTTAGATTAAATTAGGTAACATTGGTTTAAAGTAAACACTGTCACTGGGACAGAAGATACCATTCAGAGATTAAAAGAGCACATCTGAATGGCGATTTAAGCACGTCTACGTAAGCCTGGGAGGTGAAAAACGTGACCCTAAACCTGCAGTCAAGCAACAGCGAAGGGCCTCTTATAGGCTTTGCCTTAATGTGCTCCCGCTTAATTGGCTTGTGCTTCTTTTCAGCCCGTTTGCATGAGACAGCGAGTGAATAACCTGCCACTAGATGGCACTATCGCTTCAGTTCCGCAGAACACCGAGCATGACAGGACTAAAACGGTGAAGAAGCATTTCAACACGAAAGGGGGCCTCCACCAATTTTTCGAAATTTCTGCATAGTTAAAACTGAGATGTACATTGAGTGGTTTGCTGTGAAATTGTTAATAGTAGAGAAACTTACCAATTCGGATTTCTTCAGAAAGGTGGTGTTAGGAACCAGGGACTGCGATAGCCGCTTTATCTCTTCTGTCTAAAATGACCATTAAATGTACATGTCTTCTGGAATGTAATGTTCCTAATGGTAAACAGTGATCAATGTGGAAAAAATAAGTTGTGTTTGGCAACTACACTGCCTTACATCGCCCCACATGTACCACTCCACACTGTGAAAACGTTTTAAAAAAATACTAATAACCTTTCCATATAACTTTCTGCGAGGTAACTTTTAGAGGTATTAAACCTTTGGACATCTGGTTCCCATCACCACTGTAAACAATTCTGACAACAGTTTGTCTACTGACACTTAATGACTTTGATTACATTATCACTTTTTTAAATCAATAACTGGATCAATTTCACACACACCAAATCACCCAGCTGAACAGAAAGGTACATCAAGAGACAGGAGACACAAGTGGTATAGCATGTCTTTATAGAAAAAATAAGTTCATACTTCAGGGGAAACAAAAGATTTTTTGCTTGATTTTCATGTTTTGACATTTTTTTTGTGGGTTTGTTTGTTTATAATTCCTACATTTACGTGGTAAATATCAAACAACTTGGCAAAAGCCATGCTCTTTCAAGTCTTTCAGTCTCCATCACTGTGGCACAGTCTTTTTAGTTCTTCCATCAAAAGGAGGGTTCACAAAGAAAGCAGAAAGGGGAGAAGAGTCCACTGTTGCTCTTTGATGTCATACAAGACAATCAGGGAGTGGCCGCTTAAGACATGCTGACGGTACAACAGGCAAACTACAGCACGTGAGATGCAGGACAGCTTGATAGTGCTGATAGGGTTGGTGCTGCTGCTGCTGGCTGGTACTGAGAAGCACACTTGAACAGTGGGCCTGTCTGCTGCAGTTTTGCTTGTTTTGCGAGCGCAGGAGCAGTGCAGTTCAGCCGAACACGACCAAATACAGCTCCGTCCAACACGCTTCAGTAGTACCTCCTGTCCTTCAGCAACAATGCCAGTCCAAGTTTGCCTTACTGATATGAGCTGAAGGCACCACGCTTATTAAACTCCATCTTGTGGCTCTGTTAAGGTCCATGTAGGCCTGGACTAAAGTAGCCTTTACAGTCAATGGAAAAAGTTCTTTTAAGCCTAGGACTCAAACCTGTGTCCAGGAAGTCAGCCCCAAAGTTTAGCACATACTGAAATACATCCATTGGTTTTGTGTTCCTCTGATATGCATTCTGTAGTTCCCCCAAAAGTCCCGTACTACTGTATTAGATGAAATGCAACAGCACAGCTGATGAGACTCTCAACCCTCCTTTTCTTCCCTCTCAAAAAAACAAAAAAACCAAAAAAAACCAAAAAAACAAAAAAAAAACGAACACAACAAGGGCCCGGTTTCCAAAAAGCTTCATACCATTATAATAATCGTAACTGGTAGAGGGAGTATTTAACGTGATGCTCACTCTACCGTTTAACAATGTCAAGATACTTTTGGGAAACCCAGCCAAGAACAGTCACTGGCTATGTTTATACAGACAATCAAATCTGATTATTCCTCCACCCTTCCGCATGTGAGATACCTATCTGGTCTTGAGTTTGAAAACACTTCAGTACCAATCAGTATTCTGTCTAAACAGAGCAACCCATGCCAAAATCTGCTGAGCACTGTAGATTGTCTGAACATAGCCGCAGTGACAGGACTGTAATGCAATGTGTGTAACAATAAATAGATTTTTAAAAAAAACAAAGAAAGAAAAAAAGAAAAAAAGAAGAAAATGTTGGTGCCCATGTTTCTTTGTCAAATGTACCTTTACATGAGCATCAGAAAACTGCAACTCTTCAATACTATCATGGCTTTACCTAGCAAACAACCAAGTTTGGCCTTTCCCACCAGCAGAACATTTGAAGTACTTATGGCATCAGTGTGGTTGGTACCAGTGAATCCAGGCCTCACCAGGTCATTTGTTCCAATAACAGTTACAGCTGCTCAGAGGCAATGCAGGTCACTTACGGGGTTTTTGTGCAAAAAAAGTCCAGTGCAAGGAAACAATTTGTGCAGGTCAATTACAGGAAGCATTGCGGCAGGCTGACCTCTGACCTCATCGCATTGTAAAGTATCACAGATGGCGAAGTATCATTAAACTGTTTTGCAGATTTGTTTGGAAAAGAAATTCCTTCATTTGACCTACACCACAATGTTTCAACATTAAAATCATTAAACTTAAGCTTATTCTAAACTCCGTCGTCTTGGTGGAGTGTACATGATAAGGTAACATTTTATACTTTTGCAGTAAAATTGCTAAAAAGCATCAGATTATTTGAAAAGTTCTGCCAGGTTCGTGTCGGTTATCTCGAGCCTTCACATTAATGCTGGATAAGCCAGCAGTACAACTAAAAAGGAGTCATATGAAGCACATCCTTTTTTGATGGTTTTAAAGATAAAGTTGGATGCTGCTGTAAGAGAAGTTCGCACCTAAATATAATGTTTATCTTAAAAGTGCTATTAAAACAAAGTTATAGTCATGTAACCCTACATTTGTCGTTTTTTGTCTTGTTCTGAACTTAAATCCAAATGAAGCATTCAGAAACCATTTTGAACATTCATCTTTTGTCTGTTCGCTCAGCCCTCAGTAAACACAGACTCAGATTTTGGGAGAGGTCAAAGTCATTTGTTTTTGTCTCAGTCTTATGCATTCAATACTCTAGAACTGAAATTTCCACTTCCTCCCATCCTCCCATCTACTATTTAAGTAGTAGCAACAGCAAAAAAAAAAACAACAATAAAAATATCATTGACACTAACAACAACAATAACAACAATAATAGAATAAAGATAATTGCACATTAACCATCTGGAACAGGGATATTCAACTGAAAAAAGTAGAAAAAAAACAGCAAAAAAAACAACAAAAAAAAAAAACAACAACCAGCACATACACACATGTACACAACCTCACACACACACACACACACACACACACACACACACACACACACACACACACACACGTAAGGACAAAGTTAAGGTCAGAGAAAGTAATGAAAGAGGAACAACATGCAAAGAGAGAGAGAGAGACAGACAGATGGAGAGATAGAGATGGGGGGACAAGATTGTTTTTTCCACCTTCAAGTGTCACCTTGAAGACTTTTCACAGCAGTACCTTATGTCACACTTAAGTAACCTTTGACAATGAGAATACATAAGAGATATGGATTAGGAGAGATATTGCTCTTCTTAAGTCTCTGTTTGGCTCTCCCCCATCTTTTTTAACATCCATTTTCTTTCCTTGCCTTTCCCCATTGCCCCTGGGTTAGGACTCTTATGTACCGTAAGTGATTGTGCAACTCCCTCCATCTCTCTGCATGCGAGTGTCTGTGTCCTAGGCAATCATATACTGAGTGATGGCTCTAAGTGCATAGAGCAGCTCAGCCTGCAGCCGAGCCTCCATCACTAGCAGGTTCACGTGGACCTGAAAGAGAAAGTGAGAAAGAGGGAGAAAGAGATTAGTGACATGAGATCAATATACATACACGCAATATTTGACAAGACAAAGACTTTAAAAGGTTTCAGTGAGAAATGCATGGATTTATGTTGAATGGGATACACACATAAAAGGCACACATATAAATGAACTGATATCCCATCTTGGCGGCCATATTCATTTTTCAGCATCAGGAAAAAGAAGCAGAAAACATATTTAACGGAAAAGTATATGGTAGCCTACTAGAAATAATGTCAAATTTTTTTCAGTACTTAGTGAGTATTTGCCATTAGTACAGCTTACATTCTTTTCGGTAGACTTGCTTTCAGTTTTCAAAGAAATTTGCAAGGATATTTTTCCACACCTCCAAAGTTCAGTGTCAGAAATTGGTTGCATTTTCTAATTCTAATGATCCAAGTAATCCCAAACACATTCAGTGAGTTTCAGATCTGGACTCCAGTCCAATATTCTGAAAATATCAGCAGATTTTTTGTTTTTTATTTTCTCAGTAACAGCTTCTTGGCAGCTACACATCCTTCCAAAAAAACATTTGTGGATTTTTTTTTTTTATCTGAAGCAAAAGTAGAGGTTGATTTTCTTCTAATTACCAAAGACAAACGTTTTAAGTACTGTTTATCTGATAGTGACTGTTTTGGTAATCTACCAGGTCATGCAAGACCTGGCCCCATCTTCAAAAACACTAATTTTGTCAAAGGTTTTGTACAACTGCTGAAAACCTTGCAAAGAAGGATTTTCTTAGACGCAATCTCAGAAATATCTCCTGAAAAATTAATAACCTACACTTAATGGTCATTTTGACTGGAAATTGAATAAATGAAGGATGAGCTCTGACTTTGCACAGTACTGTAACTAACAGTTCAAAATTATACTCTGCGGAGGCCTACCTTCTCCGAGGCTTTGAGAGGTGTCAAAGGCAGGGGGCACAGAGGATTCTTGGTAGAGTCTGGGTAGCAGGCCACAGCCTTAATATAAAGCTTCAGTCCACGTTCCATCAGTTGGTTCACCTCTCCGTAATCATAATCATCATATCTGTAAAAATATGTGGATGTAAAACTTTGATTCCTGAGTATATGGACACAAACGGGTCAGTATAACATGAAGGTGGGCGTCAGCTGTGAAAGTTTTTCCTAGCAAGGTATTTAAAGAAAAACATTTTAAAAACTGATTTTAGCTTAACTGGACTGCAAGCTAGCACACTAGAGCCAAAAACTGAGCAGCAGGAAGAAAGCAAAATGAAGATGGACATTGACTATACCTAATTCCATAGATGCAGTGGATGTAGTTCCAGATAGCTCTTTTTAGATCGGGGTCATGGGGGGAAGGGAGGGAGGCCACGCTCCGGAACCGGTCATCCAGCAGAAGCCCAATGTCTGAGTAGAGCCGGTTCACTAGAGAGAAACCGTGGTCCTCCCATGAGTAGTCCTGCACACAAACATTTATTCAACAGATTAGCAATTACAACATTACAGTACGCATTCACCAAGTATACCATATACGATAAGTCAATGTGTCTTTAAGCTACACTGTGTACATTTTCCAGATTTGGAGACTGCTCTGGTGGAAACGTTGGTTGCGCTTCAGACCCCTTCCCTGAGAGGATAAAACTGATGATTGCAAGCTCATTGAAAGAGTATTCTGTCAAAAAAGATTTTTTAATGTACATATTAATATTAATGCTGTCTTTCACATCAACTCCACCACACTGCCCAACTTAAAGGGAAGCCAACTGAAATCAGAGCTATGCTGTCATGGCTGCTTCTATAGTTTACTGCTCTGAGCTGAAGCAGCGCCTCAAACTCCCCCACTCTGAAAATATCTTCGCAAGGAAGCACTTTCTGTAGAGCTGTAGGAGTCTAAACTACCCACGCCGCTCACATTTTTAACAGAACATGTTGTCTACATCTTTGAGCATCACAGAGTATTTAATAACCACTGAACAGGTAACGGGCCCAGAATTCACTGATCATCATCTTAGCAAAATCTTCTTCTGGCCATTTAGGAAGCATCAGCTAAAACTTAAGACCCAAGCAATCACATGAAACTACCCTGTATACACTGGTAAGTCCCTGTCTTTCCCAACAATAGCTACACACTACGCACTGTTAATAAGTGAAACTTGTTAAGTTATACTTTACTGATCCACTTACAAGGGAAATTGGTCATTTTGCTGCCTTGCTGTGCCCAGTCTAGGAGCAGCACAGCGTCAAAAGCAAAGTAACGCTTCCTACTGGTTGCTGGCTTACCTCTGTTACCAACTAAGCTACAGGGCACCCCAATCTAATGTTTCAACAATGCTCTACCCCAGCCGTGATATCTCCTAAATTCAGTGTAGTAAAAATTCTCTGTATGGATCCAAACAAACAATTGACATACATTTAACAACATTTACAAAACATCAGCTGCCCTTTACATTATACTTCACATTGAACGGACCAAAGAAAATTTTTGAAAAGCAAACCATTCAAGTTTATTTAAAGCCCTAGGGAACCTAAATCCATGTTTTCTTTCTAAACAGGCTAATCCTGTTCTTGTGGGTGTTGCTGCTGATGTATTTTGCCACATTTCTTTTTTCTTTTTTTTTTTTTTCTCTCGATGTAAACTGGGCAGTCTTAATCTTGGGTTGTGCTTACATAAGCAGTACCCATGCTAATCTTTAAGCTTAATCTTTAACAGAAAATCTTACAGAGAGAAAGCTAAGGAACAAGCAAAAGCTAACCTAAGCATAAGTGAGCTATAAAGCTAGCTCATCTGTCTGCCTGTCGCCAGTCTTTCAGTTCATTCTTTGGCTCATCAGCATTCCCTATAGGCACCTCCAGCAACACCATACACATCACCCATTTCTCCCTGCTCGCATTATGTTTAGTTCTGCTTCAGCGGAGCAGCAGACCAAGAGTGCTGAACTGAGGGATGTCAACCACAGGTGCTCAACAGAATATTAGCCCAAACAGTTCTCAGCATTTTTAGGCTATGTTTGTAATTACATTTTTATACTTTTTTTTTTCTTCCCCATTTAAACTTTGCTGGATGTTTAATACAGCACTTCACTTTAGCATCCCAAACATTAACATTTTACACTGTGTTCTCAGGGACTTTAACAAAAGTTACATTTTGCTGTTACAAGGTTTTCTTACATGCAGTTTGTATGTTAGAACACACCCAAGTCTAGTGTAAGGAAAATCCAAACAGATGGACATGTCATGTGACCTCTGAGCAGTAAGTACAGAGCTACCCTTTAAGGTTAAGGGAAGATGAAGTGTAGAATTGCCTCTCTGAATCAACAAGGGTGCAGAGTGTTACTGTCCTGCTGCCCTGTCGTAACCCAATGCAACAGCAATGTCCTCACCTGCACCCGGAATACTTGGAAATGGTCCTCCTCCCGTCGGGCAAATTCCTGGTAGCCAAAATCGGGGTCTGTGAAACGGGAGGGGTCTGTAGAACACATCATCTCCTCTTCCTCCTCTTCTGCATCTAGATGAAGGGAAAGGACAAGAACAAGTCAAGATCCAGAGACAGATAAGGTGTGGAAAATGTGAAAGGAGATTAATCAATAAAAATAGCCCTGAAAACATGTATTCCTCCTGAGTCTAAATATGAAGACGCTGCTTTCAACAACACTCAGTCTGCTTTACTTGAGTTGTGCTGACTTGAGCCTGACAGAGAACCATGACACATAGCCTACCTATATGTAGGAGTGTGTGTGAGTGTAGAATTGGGTCTCCTTTTCTCTCTTTCTCTTCCTGAGACTTTTGGATTCTCTCTCGTAGGCAAGTCAGCTCACAGCTTGAGTCTAGAGACTGCATAAGAGGGAAAAAACTGTTATCCATATTAACTTGCACAATAAATAAATAAATAAATAAATAAAACAAACCCTTCAGAGTCTCATGTGTAGACTTCATTGGAGATGTTGAGTAACTTTTGTGGTTTTCACTAAACATGAAATACAGCTACATTTAAACTTCTATGCTAAAAAGATCCAGCTCTATCCATGCAGGAAACCTGGAAAGCTCTGGCCAGCTGAGGCAAGCATTAAGACCTTACCCTCCTTCGGGGCGTGCGCTCTGTGGGTGGTAAGGCTGTGTTGCCGTTGGCAGCATCGCACAGGCAGTAGCCCGGGGGAGTTCCATGAGGCACTCTCAAGGTGGGTGCGGTGTCCGTCTCGGAAGCTGAGCCAAAGATGAAGCTGCACAGCGAGTGATAGTGGGCCAGCAACACCACGGCCTGGACCAGCTCGGCCAGTGACCAGCACTGTTCGCCCCGTTTCAGCAAAGCCTGTGGGACATCAGGAGACCCAGCTCAGCATAATTGGGACATACAAGACCATTAGGGGGCTGGGCTCAACTCTCCCCCTACTCACATTGACTAAAACGACACTGTGACATTGGTTTGTAAAGGAAACCCACAGCACAATATCTTAAAATGGACAATTCAGCACAATCTAGAGCTACCACAACTAAGGATTTAAGATAAACCATACAGTATCACAATCACTAAATTAAAAACACTGTAATTTAAAATTACACCTTAAAGCTACACTATGTAAGCTTTGGGGATTTGGAGACTTCTCTGGTGGAAATGTGTAATTGCAGAAGAATATTTTATAACTTGCGTTGCGCTTTGGCCTCCTTCCCTGAGTGGATGAAACTGACAAGTGTGCGTTCAGCGAAAGAGTATTTAAAGCCATCATATCTTGATCAGTGTAATTTTGACTTTGCATTTGAGACCTAAACATCGAGCCAGACCTTCTTTTTGAGCCTGTCTGTGTGATGTTAATATGTAAACGATATATGATGTGGTATGAAAAACTCCTGTGAAATCTAACCCATTTAAATTATTTTAGGCTTTACAGGGTAACTTGCAGCAGCACACAGACACCAGCAAAGCTGAAATATTTACAGCTGAAAAAGAAAAAATAAAACAATAAAAAAATGCATGTTATTAACTCACAATCTTGGTTGACCAAGACCAAGATTAGCTCACTTGTTGACTTAGAGGGGATAGCCCTAATATATTTCCTTCACTGCAGTGCATAATACATTTTAATTACACAGCACCTTTTTTTAGTATTTGAGTACAGTGTACTCGCCAATATACCTGGATGTGCGAGTGAGCAAGGAGCCAGGGCTGGTGAGCCAGCACTTTGTTGATGTGGTCGAGCTGCTGGAGGCGAGGGGGCGCAGCCTCCAACCCCTGCAGCCATAGTGGGTCGCCCCCCCACCGCAGGAACTGAGCAGAGTGCAGAGACACTAGGTAGCTGCAATGATGCCGTGCTGCAGCCTGAAACACACCCACACAAAAACACATAAAAGAGATATCCTTTCTGCATGTACTTGAAAGCAGCTTTGTCTACTTGTGTCCTGTATGTATGTACCAGCTTCTTATCTTATGGGACTGTGGGGCTTCTGTGCTTTTTACTTCTTATAAACCCCTCTTCTGCACTTCTAATCTTACAATGTGGAAACTGTGTTGATTTGTTCATTGTACATAAGAATAGTGATCCTTTTTCTGGACTGAAATGGTGCTGCATTTCCTTCCTTCAATGTGAATAAGAGTACATTATGACAGTACAATGGCCAAAGTGTGCTCTAACCATGATGGCAATGTAGTGGCGGTAGGGATGGGGCAGCGGGCCGTCCATGTACAGGATGTAGTGCTGGGTTCGCAGGAAGCTCTCCAAATACTGCGGATGAGAGGCCATTTGCTGCGATACTGTGTCTAATCGCCCCCTGCTGGCCAGAACCTTCATGCACAATGGAGAGGCACGTTCCTTCTCAGAGTTCACCTTCATCACCTGCATAGAGCAGAAGACAACACAATGAGGCAGTGACAAAGAACACTGCCAACGACAAAAGAAGTACACAGGTACAAACTGGCTTGATGAACATAAAAACAATTGTTTTTGGACTGCTTTTTTACTGTCGGTTTTTGCTATTATTGTTTACTGGACATAAAACAATTCCATGTTTCCATTTTCACTGCGGCCCATGTTTCTCAGCTTTGGCAGGACTGCTGTACACAGACTGGCTCCAAATGGAGCATTATAAAATGGTAACAGGCCACGACTCTGCCGTGGGTAATAAAGCTTCAGTCAGTCTCTAAGGAGCCCTCTTGGACTCCTGAAAAAAAAGAAATGGAGAAAGAAAATAGAAGCAATACCACCAGGAGCATTCTTCAAATAATTCGTGAGGGGAGGGAAAAAGAAACAAACAAACAAACAAACAAGGCCTCTGCACTTGGTCCTGGAGGCATGAAATGAGACAGAGGGAGATATTCCACAGTGAGAGCAGGCCACTAGTCTGGAGTTAGTCTTCAAGACAATAGTCAGACAGGCGTCTGTCTACCTAGTCCTCTGCCTCTCCTGCCAGTGATGCTTCCAACCAATGAAAGGGGCAAAAACAGACAGAATTCACTCTGGTTTTAAAAAAACACCCTTGTTCATGAGACATCTGCTTTGGGCTATTAGTTCCTTAAACCTTAAGCAAGACAAAAGAGAAGGCGAATGCTGCTTTTTGATTTCAGTGGTGCTGAGGAAATGGAATATTTGTCATGTCTTCCTGTTCTCGTGCAAGTTACGAAGGCCAGTGCTGGCCTCCTGGTTGTGCCTTTGGCTGGCTTTGTGTTTGGCTGAGGGGATTAGTGAAATCCTGCCCCGTAACCCCCTCCAGTCACTTCCCCTATCTATCCGCACGCACTCACGGACTCGGAGAGAGCATCAATGAATAAGATGGCCCAGGGAGAAGAATGAACCCAAGGGCTGAATAAATGGATGGCAGTGGGGGTGAAATAAAAGGAAAAGATGATGTGAAAAAATGCAAGTGCAAGCAAGTAGAAAATGACAAATGTGAAATTTCAATGATTAAGGTAGCTGAGCACATTTCAAATATATAAACCATTTTATTATTATCATAGCAGCTACACAAATGAAGCTGTTATTATTAGGGTTATTATGATTGAAACTAAAATGGGTCTTGCCTCTCTTTCCTGGTATGTGAAACAGGAGAACAGGGCCTCTCACAGCCAAATGTTTCACTGCCAAATGCACAGCAGTGCTGGCAGCAGTTATTCCTTCGAGTAAACCACTGCTCTGCTGGCCTGGCCGACAGGCAGTCATGGTGGGAAGGAGGTCAGTTACATGTGGGGAGGGGGGAAGAAGCACGGCATCTGACTGAACTCAAACATGAATGTTGTCACGTATTTTATCGCACTCAGTCTTGCAACATAACTCGGAGAGAACTGACAGCCACGGGCACCCTACAGTACTCTTACTAGTACAAGGAGATCAGTATCAGAAAAACAACACTAACCTGTGTGTTTCCAATCACACAGGTTAGTGGAACATAACACATCCCACATTCTACCTCTCATTTAAAGTCCTTTAAACAGCTAAATACATGGACTTTCTGTACACTGTACAATGTATGTGAAAGAAAAACACAGAGGCAAAGTCTCATTAAGCAGTGCAAATTCCAAACTCTCAAGCATTAAGCTGAGCTACTGCGGACACTGGCAAAAAGAGCGTCCTGATGTCCACCCGAGTGCTGATGTTTCCCTGTTCTATCCAGCAGAGGCCAGCTCATCCAGTGTCTGACCAGCATCAGGCAGTTATAAATATCTGAGAGAGACAGCTGGGATAGCAGTTGCACAGATAAGAGCTAAAAGGCATCTCTATGTAATAAGCAACAAAACACTGAAACTCTCACAAGCAGCAGCTGACTGGGTCATCAGGTAAAGGAGAATTAAAAAGAAAGTCTTTTTCATTTCAGCACCAAACCCCAAGACCATGTGTGTCTTTATGTTAACTGACCCACCAAATGTATTCCCATTTAAACCATTTTAAATAAAGTGGGTCATAAGAGGTTTTCTTCTACTGTCATACTATACACAGACCCACGTAAATGGAACAGATGCCTGAAGAGTGTGAATACAGACATTGCATTAACTCTTAAAGAGGAATTCTACTGTATTTTTTTATTCTGCATAATTAAATGGTCCTTTAGAGCTGTTTGATGTGAAATGCTTTGTGCTAGAGAAACTTACTGAGTCAGAATTATTCACAGCAGTGGTGACAGGAACCAGATGTTTGATGAGTTAAATGCCTCCAAAAGCTAAAGATTATAGGAATTTGTTACAAATACACTGCCTGAAACATCGTTTTATAATCATTTTGAGATAAGCTTCTGGCCTAAAACATACTTTTAAAACAGACGTAAGCCAAATCAACATACAAAGAAAACTTATGTTTTTCAGATTTACCACTATTTTACTATTATCAACACTGCATATAAAAATTCTGCCACATATAGGTTTACTGGTCTTCTATCGTATATAGCTATCTGGCTATATTTGCATTGTTGCTATTGTGAACCTTAGTTCCTTTCGCCACTACTGTAAAGAAATCGTTACATTCAAGAAGTTAAGCTTCTCTACAATGCACCATTTCACATCAAAACACTCTGAATGAATCTGTTTACATCTTGAACACTGAATTATGCAGAAAATAAATAATAAATGTATAAATTTTTGAAGACCAAAATGGCCTTCTACAAGTTAACCATTAGACCAGTTAAAAAAAAAAAAAAAACAGTTATCAAAACAGACTGTTTGTGACATTCATTGACAGAGAAAAACAGTGGTAAAAGTAGTTGTTGAGATGCTGAGTATTTCTACATTAGGCGCAAGTGCTTTGTCGCTCGCCATAACCGGTCCTAAAGAACGAGAAGAAAATGAAAAAGAAAGAAAGAAAGAGAAAAAACCCAAAAAACAACACCCACATGCATAGCGCAAACACAGTGTGTGAAATTATACACTCAGTCCACAACAGTCACTTTTGCTCAAACGTAAGCTTCACAATTTATATGGTTGAATTAGATTTCCTAATAATGCTAAATATGTGGGTTAAACGCAGACTTGGTCATACCTGGTCATCGAATAATAAAGTATGTGACAACACATAGCAGTCCAACCTGACAACGTCTAAAACTGGCACTGAGATATGGCTATGAAAGGAATTAACTTAGTGTCACAAAGCAGATTCAAAACCAGTTATATGATCATTTTATATGAAGACACAATACAAGAAGTAATATATATCATGTAGTTCCAAACAATTTGGGGGAAAATATCTAATTGTGATTTTTCTGACCGATACTGTGACAGTGATTTAAATTATTTTCCAAAAATTAAGGCCTGTTTTTTTCAGCCAGTTTTTCTGACTTGGGGCTTAAACACTGAACACAGTGATAGATAAATCTTTAAGCCCTAATCTCATGTGGCACAATTTAACACAGTGGAACTCATGCTTAGCACACACACAGAGAAGTGTTAAGGGAATTAGCAGTTGAACTCCATTTAAGCATTACACTGGCTAAAGCACTCTGAAGTGGTTGCTCATCATTTCTGAAAAATATTATCTGAAAAATTAATGTCTAGAACTCACAATTAGGAAGACCCATATGTGAAAGTAAAATGTAGCACTAGGGCAATTTCACATAAGGTTTCAATTAAGTCGGAGGCCAATTGCTAATAACTTACAAGTGGTGTGCTAGTGAGGCACACATGAGCTAGCCATTAATGAAGGAACGAGACGCCAACCTCAAACTCTCGTAACAGCTCAAACTCCATTCTCCCCTGGGACTCTCCAGGGGCACTTTCTCTGGTAAATAGATCACATGTCACAGGGCCCAGTACCAACGCCCATAGCTTCTCTGCAGTGACCCAGAAAAACAGGCTACTGTAAATTAAGATACATTCAACTTGCTTTCACTTTTCAGTACAGTACAACTTGTGTTTGTGTGCTGATGACATGATAAACATAAGTATCATAACAGAGCTAAAAAACAAAAAAAAAAACCCGTTCAAAGAATGCAGGTGATCAATGGGAAGGCTTTGTAAATCACAAACAGCAGTGGGGCACAAATGGCAACCCAAATTATAAACTTACCAGTGTAACTAACTAAAAAAAACAAAAACTAAACACATTTAAAACACTACATAATCCAGACGTTCAGTGTCAAATGTGGCTATTTGCTGTCATTAGTACACCCCTGATGGCCATCAGCAACATGCGCAGGCATGTCCTTACCCACACTCAACACGAAACAGGAAGCCATTCACACATCCTCCTGGCAAGTCCCTCTAAAATTCAGCTGAATGCTTAGATGAAGTTGGTATTTTCATCATTATATGAAGATACTTAATTATGTAACAATTCCTCTAAGTTTTTCGACAAGACTCATCTCCTTTCATCAATTAATCGTGTCTATGACTACTTTGCTTACTTCTAATACCACATGCTTTGGCCTACTTGCATACTCAAATAGAGAGCACTTTCACAGCAAGTCTATGGAGCGTATTCATATCCATCTAGTCATGGACAAACCAAACACTGTTTAGATTTGAATACATTTGAATGCATCCAGGCAGGGACATTTGAATGAGGCCTTACAATGTGGCTGTGCCAGTAAAAAGAGACAATAATTTCTAGCATCACTGGTCAGGCTACTTTTGAAGACTGTCGTTTAAAAGAGGCACCTTAACTAGCAGATACAATTATTATTGACCTACCGAGTGAAAAACACAATGCAGAACCCAAAATGTAGGCAGATTCTGAACGTGTGGGGTCTAAAATGTCAGCCATGAGAAAAAGGGCCAAGCAAATCCCAAAGAGAAAAGAATGACCAGGCCTGTGTTTTGTGCTTCATCAAGACAAATTCAGTGTAGGCCTAAAAAATTACTAAGAAGTGGCAAATGGTAAAGGCACAAAATTAGGCATGAGAAGACAGAAATTGTACAAAAAGAATGCAGAAATACTAAGATACTGACATAATGAGGATAATTAGACTATTATACAAATCTGTTATGCCTGTGAATGATCTTCGCAAGGCAGTGAATGAGTGGGGAAGTGTAGGGACAGAATAAGAGCTGCATGACATATTCAATCTGCATTCTCTGAGAGCCTGGAGGGGTCCGTCCTTGTCATGCGCAAGTGTCCCTGCCGCTGTTACAAACACACACACACACACACACACACACACGCACGCACACACACACACAAATCTCTCTACAGTGGGAACACTCTTTTGGCTCGGCAACCTGAAGCCAGGGAGGGGAACAAAACAGCCAGCTGCAGCTTGCTGGGGGTTGGACGAGACCAAGGCCAGCACCGCACAGACAAACAGGCCAAGCCACATATGGAGACAGACAGGCAGGCAGACCCACACATAGACAGGGTGGAACGCATTCAGCGCATTGTTTAGAAACACACATGCGATTTTATGCCCATGTATACTGTAGTGGCTTGATTTTGCAATTTGATTGATGAGTAACAATAAACTATGATGAACCAATCAAACATCATTTACAATGGATATTTGACTCTGGTCTAATTCTGAGTCCAATTGCTAAGTTCAGTATTTCTTTTCTTGGCTGGTAGTATTATTTATTCACATCATGTTCTATGTCCAGTGTTGTTTTCAATTGCATCTTCCTCCATATTTATTAGCCGTGCTTTCCAGTGATTGCTTGCAATGTCTGAAGAGTCGTTCTGGAATGACAGATATAATGAACTCCTCAACACCGAGTCTGAAATACATGTTGAGTCATCTGATAAGAGCAGCTTTTCAACACCAAATGTGTCCATGCTGCCTGTGTTTTATTAACAGCACAGAGGCTGAGGTTTACAGAATTTCAAAGATAAAGGCACTTTCTGTTTAAAAGAAAAGTCAACCTTATCCTTTCTGAACCTAGGATTTTACACTGAATTGCTGGGATTTGCAATATAAAAGAGCAGAAGCCACACGTTTAACAGGTATGTATAAGGTGCACAACAGAACAAACAGAGCCTGAGAAAAGGACACCAAATGGAGGAAAATTACAGATAGTTTAATAAAAGACACATGCATCCATTGTTCCTTTGAAAGCTGTGGAAGTTTGCGCCCGCAACGACCCCTCTCGGTGGTGCGATGTAATTGCAGGCAAGAGAGGAGAAAAACAACTTTGATTGGCAGTGCATCAGCATCACAGCACAGAAATGCTAACAAAAAGAGGCACACAATACAGACAACTGGAAAGCAAAACGCCCAAAAATACAACAGCTTTACAACAGAAATGGTCGGTAGGCGGTTAGACAAGCTACATTTGCTCAGGTTTAGTGATTTTGACAGACACCTTTCTATTTGTCTAGCCTACCAGCTTCATATGAATCACCAAAAAAAGAGCTTGGTAGCTAAAGGCAATGCTCATTCAAACAACGGCAACAAAACGGCAATTTCCTCACATAGTTTTCGAGCTGTAGAGGTCATTTTGGCTTTTGGTAGATAAACGAGGCAGTAAATCATAGGGCTGAGTAAGAGTGAATGAAAATCCAACTTGGGCTTCTCGATGATGAATAAAATGTAACTGTTACACTTCAATCTAAAACATGTTAACGGGGAACCTTCACATTCAGTTCTGCCTTTGTTCTCAAACGCACCAAATGTAAAGATGCAAAGCACTTCAGTGTAACGTTATGTATGCATAAAGCTAAATGCACAAAACCCCATTTTGTGCAGAACACTTATGGAGATACAGGCTGAATGAAAAAAGGTCTGTGTCGTTCAGTCTGTAGACCACAAAATACACCACAGCGTCTCGCTAAAACATACAACGCATCTTGAATGGAAACTAGACACTTTGTTCAACAATGACATTCATATTTAGCTGGCTAGGCATTTACACCACAGCTTATTGCCATCTCAGTGAGCTAGCTTATGCCTTCAGATATGAGGCGGAAAATACAGCCCGGTGTGCAGAGTTTGAAAAAAGGCACGTTATCACAACTGACAGCTCGTTAACTACGACGAACTGATCTGTTTTTTGTACTACGACGCGAAGTGGATTTACTAAACATGCGAGAGTTAACAAGCCTGCTGAACAGCTACTAATGCGATATTAAGTTTGCGTTAACAGCAGCTCTGCTGGTTAGCTAGCTAGAAACCAAACGCCCCCTCAAGTCTTCACTGTCGAGGCAAGTTCAGGATTTGACTGCAGCTACGAGGGAAGTTAATTAGCCAGCTAGCTAACAGTAGCTAGCTACCGACAAAAGGTTTGGACTTCAACCGTCTGGCTGCGTTTAACAAAAAAACTTTTTGAAAGTTCGGCAAAAATATCGCTGGATAAGTGTACAACATCAGCTGGGGCTGTCGTTATAGGAAAAAGTTCAATTTTAGACGTCAGGCTTCTTAAAAGAGATGAACGCATTTAGTTGTTGTTTTTAAAAGTAAATAACGAGTAAATGAATGAATGAACTTCATCAAATTAACTACTGAATTCTCAGGCTAGTTCTGAAGCTTTTCGAGAACGGTTAACTTTTACACGGACTTAAAACCAGCTCCATCTTTAGCTTGCCTGCTAAGTTGCACCTGAGAAAAAGGCAGGTTAGCTGGTTAGTTAACGTTAGCTAGACAAATGTTTGAGCTCAGTTGACTTTACGTGGTTTAACACACTCAACGTACCTGATTTTTGACAAGCTGACACGGAGTTCCGAGGTGATAGTCCATTTTTTTCGCACAGATGATCATTTTCTTCCCTGTAAGTGCATGAATACGGCTCTTCGGTCTTTCTTGGTCTTAACCAACTCGCTAACAAAAGCCGAGCCGCTATGAAATCTACAAGTCCGGACATCAGCTGCGGTATTACTGGGTGAACAACGGCAGACTGAGGGGACTGAGAGCGTTTGTCCAATCAGCGCGTCCGGGAGGTGGGACTAAGCGCAGAGGGGGCATGTCTAACAAATCAGCGACCGGATTTCACATTTGAGCCCACAGCTGTGTGTCCGAGACCTGAGCCAATCATAATGTGGAAAAGTACCTGCCTGTTAGGCGCTGTGGATCAGCCTCCAATGATGTAATGCCATAGACGAGGTTAAATCTGAAATAATCTGTTCTGTGCTTACTTTACTGTCTGTAAGTGTTCATGCATATGTTGAATTAACTGACCGAGGCACAATACGCATGTTTAATAATTAATCTTGAGTTGTTTATGAAAGACTGAGAGCATATGCAGCCTTGTGTGTGTACCTCAACTTAGCAGGCCTTAAACTGTTTATTTAACAACGTTTTCAATAATAATTTCTGGCAACACTATTTCTTATGATTGTAAAGAGGACGATTATAAAGCAGTATGAGGGTACCAAATGCGGAGGCCACCCCCTCCCTTAAGCAGTGGTCCTCGACCCAAAACCTGGAAATCCCATGCTGTTTTTTTGTGTTTTTCTCTGCTTTAACATACTTGCCTCAGCTCAGGAAGGCCTTATTAATTACCTAGTTCAAACTTATAAACCAAATATAAGCACAAAGATTAATAACCGCTCAAGAGTAGACTAAGCTGTGGATTATGGATTTAGTTATTTATTTGTAAGCAATATGTGTACAGTATAAAGTATGAATGATGTCACTGGTTTAGTTTACAATGCACAAAGCCTTCGTTTTTAGCTTTGTCCTCACTTTTCGGCCTGCAGAGAGAAAGGGTGGCCCAAAATGCTGATGCAAACACAGAAAGAAGGAGGTAAAATATTAAAGGAACAGGCTGATCTAAAAACATGTACAAGGCGTACAACGAGTGAAAGCTGGTCCCAACTGGGACTGAATGACTTGGAGAAAATATCTAATTATGATTTTTCTGACTAATATTGCGACTGTGATTTGAATTGCGATTATTTTCTATAAATTAAGGTTCAGGCCTGTTTTTTTGCCAAGAAGACCAAAATATCTACCTTTTCTGGCTTGAGGCCTGACCCCTGAATGTAGAATGCCAGAAAGTCATTAAGTTGTGGTTGTGATGTCACAACACATGAAGGTTTGGTTGCCTCTGATTGGTCTAACTTACCTACAGGCAGTTTACAAGCTCTGTGTTATAAGCTTAAATTTCCCCACAGGAAAAAAAAAGCAGCTATTGTGATTTGAAAATTGCACACTTTTAAACTGTGATTTCAATACAAAAATGATTAATCTTTCAACCCTAGCCCCAACTGTACCATGATATTATTTGTGTGCTGCTAATGATAGCAATTAGCTTTCAATCATTGTTGGCAACATTTGCAATGTTCCAGCCTAACTATTCTTATAATCTTTTGTGCTGTTTGGACATTGACTAAAAAAAGGGTCTGTATTGTTTAATCTGTAATCCATAAAACATCTAAGACTACAATGTCTTGCTAAAACAGGCAATGCATCTTTGATGGAAACCAGACATTTTGTTTAACAATAACATTCATATTTAGCTGGCAAGGCATTTTCACCACTGCTTATTGCCTTTTCAGTGAGCTAGCTAATACCTTCAGATGGGAGGCAAATACAGCACAGCATGCACAGTTAAAAAAAGGCACATTAACAAAACTGACAACTCGTTAGCTAAACAAATCTAGCCTGCTATGAACCGATACCGGAATGGTAATCGGGAGAGTCGGGATCATTCCCGGTCGGCTAGTAGCATGGCAGGTTACCGTGAGTTCATTTATAAACTCAAACATATAAGCACAAGAATGCTCAGACAAATTACAACCCCGGTTTGCTGATCGTAACCAGCCTGAGTTAGAGATTAGATGAAGCTGAAGTTAGCTTCTTATTCTCATTTCCAATTTTGCTTTAAATAATGTTGCAGTTACATTCAGATGCATGTACAGGCACTACCTTGTAACTGCTGCACTATTTAAGGTGGAACAGAAATTCTAATAAGAAGAGATTAGTCTATAAAATTCAGTGCTGGCATAACAGTCAGCACTCAACAGAGTTTGGCATTACCAAAGTAGCAATTTTTATACATGAATTATGTGAAGATGGACAGCAGCAGCAAGCACTGCAAAAAAGCAGGGTGGCACTGAGAAGACAAGAATGAGAAAGGTACTTAATGAGGATGAGGACATATTCGAGCAGGTGGGCAGTGAGAAATGCTGACCTTAACTTACTTAGCTAGCGTTAGTTCATAGCATATTGACTGTCAGGATTATGTCACATTTAAGACAAAAGTTTCCACCAGTTCTCATTTTATCACAAGCCATTTATCTTTGTTTTCTCAGTGTAGCAGATAAATAATAAATAAGAGTAAGAAATGAAGAAGAAAACACACATTTTAGAAAAGGTTATTTTGCATGAGGGCAAAGCTCTGTGTGTATGTGTGTGTATGTAGCAGGAAAAAATACAATTAGAATTTAGGGTGGGATGGTCTGCATCATCTAAGCCCTGGTCTGAAAACAAGTCCCACTCTGGCCCTGCTACAAGCTGATCTGTTTTTGTACTGCAATGTCAAGTTGATTTACTGAATATATGGCACATAGCAAGCCTGCAGAACAGCTACTAATGTTTGTGTTAACAGCAGCTCTGCTGGTTAGTTTAAAACCAAGTAAAAAAACCTCTGCTGAAACCAAACACCCCCTCAAGTCTTCACTGTCAAGGCAAGTTCAGAATTTGAAACACAGGGGGAAGGAGGTATTAAAGGAACAGGCTGATCTAAAAACGTGTACACTGTGTACTGTGAATGAAAGCTTGTCCCATCTCCACCATGTTATTAGCATAATACTAATCATAGCATTTAGCTTTCAACGATTGTTAACAACATTTGCAATGTCTTGGCCTAACTATTCTTATAATCTAATACATTACTTAACTTAAATGTAATACATTATAAATTCAGAGATGATGAATCTATATATAAAAGCTGAAAAGCAGAGGCAAAGGTCAGGACTATTGCCTTGAAATCCATTATAGGTAGGTTACAGTGTCTCTCTGTAATTCCATCCCACAGCTGAGTAGAGGTTTAAGAAAACAATAGGACTGGGTAATGTATTTATGGTATGATATTGAATTATTGCACAAAACGGCACTCTGTTAGCATGGCCTGGCAGGCGATAACTGATTCCTCTGTATTATTATTGGCCTTGACCCTCAAGCAAATGCTATTAATCTTACAACCAGAGAAGCAATGGACAGTTCTATTGTAGAAGCAATGGTCAGTCTCTCATCCTGTGATTGGAATGTCAGAACAAACCCACACATCATTGTGGAAAAAAGGCAATAATGTGTAAATACCTTCATCTATTGTAAAAGCAGTTTTAAATGTACTTTAAAAGAGTGTTTCTCAAGCACAGCCTTTGAGGGCTTGATTTCTTGCTGCAGGTGTATTTGGGGGTCTGGTCTAAACATTTATCTAAAATATCACTTGTTTTCAATGGTGGTCGGTTTCATTGCTCAGAATTAGAGATTTAAAAACACTGGCTGTTTCCCACAGAACTCTTAACACAGGCCCTCCTGGCTCTTGTTATTTTCTGCCTGGACTAATTCCGTCATTTCGCTGACCTCAAATGAATAGTGCCGTTGTCTAGGAAAAGGACTTACTATCTGGACTTCATTCAGTTTTGCTTAGTTAAACTGGGGTTGTTTTCGTTTTCTCCAGACCAAGATCCACGAGACATCCATCGGGCAATTACACACTTAACCTTTTAACAGACTAAATCACAACATTAACCCTTTCGACCACAGGTTTATAATTCAACTCATTATAAGACTTATTATTCAGATGCTACTTTGAATTGTCCAGTAACTTCTATTAGTATATAAGTCAAAGTCATAGTTATGAGAGTGAAGAGCTATGGACTTGCATATGGGTCCCTCAGAGTTTAAGTAGTTAAATGCACTGTTCCTTTTTCTGCAGGTTATGTAAACTGGTCAGCCTTATCAAATAACTTTTTGGGGAACTTAGCAAGAGAACCAGTACACTGTAAACTCCAAAGTTGAAATTCATTAATTGAATTAAGTAAAGAAAACATACTCAACATTTATACTAAGGTAAACATATTAAGTGTTCAACAATTTCCTTCTTTCTAAGTTCATGAAACTAGTAAATTCTGATTCAAAAGACTTTTGATTTGATTTAGTATAGTTGATTTCTGTTTCTTGCTAAGGGTTATTTTGGATAAATTTTACAGATATATGTTACAATAACTATGATGTGTTCAAGTCAGCCTGTGGTGCTCATACGGACACAAACTGCTTTAGACGAGCACAAGTACATAAAACCAGTGTAATCCGGTGAAACGTAAGAGTTTAATTAATCCTAATCACACTGAGTAGAAGTAAACATTTTGAGTTCCACCAACTGAAAACATTTGCATTGCCTTGTCAATAATAGTTATTATGCAATTAAAATATGTTGCTGTCCAAAAAAAAGTATTTTAATTTTTTAATCTTTATTTTACTGAATCATTTGAATAGAGCAAATGTCCTTCACATGTTTAAAAATTACATGATGAATGTACAAACAGAAATGTTCCAAAATGATTAAAAATCATATTAAGTTACATAGACTTACGTTAAAGTTAAAGAACGTTTTTGCCTTCTCTTGTAAAGTTAATGTATGTGTAACAAGCCCTAAACCTACATGTTGAAACTTCTGGTTCTTGATTTTATGAACCTTAAAATATCAAGCAAACTGATTACCTCAGTTATTTTGAGTTCTGCTATCTTATGCGGTACTGGGTAAGAGATCAAATTCATGATTTTCAATGCATAAAAAAACCAAACTGGTCAAATACTTCACACAGTCCCCACTGTCAGCGGGAAAAGGTTTCAGGTGTTCAGGTTTTGTTTGTCTTCGTAGCTGTTTCTCCAATAGTGCCATGTTTCAGGGTAAGCGCAAGAACA